TCTATGTCCATTCTTTTGCTTTCCTCCATTTCCTTCCTTTGTGGCCTGCCTCTTCTCTGCATTTTAGCTGCTTCCCTGAGTTGATGGAGTAGCTTTGTATGCTAGGTGTCCTAGCAGGGCCTAGTAGCTTGGCCTTCCCAGTTACCTGAGGTGGACAGTTTTGGTGCAGCCCTTTGTGGGCTGTGTGTGCAGTCTTGTTGTTAAGCCTTGTTTGTTGGTATCACTGGCGAGCGGATTGCTTTTGTTCTTCTTTTTCTAGTTCTTTAAGATATAATGTTAGGCTGTTTACTTGGGATTTCTCTTGTTTTTTGAGATAGGCCTGTAGTGATATAAACTTCCCTCTTTTTACTGCTTTTGCTGCATCCCTGGAAGTTTTGATATATTGTATTGTATTGTATTGTATTGTATTGTTTGATATATTGTATTATATTTTGACATATTGGCTAATTTTGTCTTGAAGACTGCCCAATGGCTTTGCAAAACCTTCCTTAGATTGCACAGCTGTCCTGGACACTTCCAAATTTCCTTCCCTTTCTCCTTCACTCAGGATCAGACTTTCCCACACTTTTGAAGATCCCTCCCCATTTTCTCTCAACAGTTATTTCTCCTAAAAAAAAAAAAAACCCAAACCCATGCATATTCTGATATGATTTTGATGTTTGCTGCTGAGAGGACCTAGTTAAACATAATCCTTAATACCAAATCCCCCTAAAACTTTACTTTTATTTACAGTCAGGGTTCTGGAATGAGTTGTCTACTCCCAGTCTTAATTTCTTTCTCTTTCCTTCATTCCTCAATTCACACAGATTTAACTTGAATATCTATTACACATGTTACCTTATCCAAAGTATTCTTATTAGGGTCATTGATTACCTCTGTGTCACAAAATCTAATATATATTTTCTAGTCTTTATTTTACCTCTCATCAACATTCATCACCAATGACCCTCATTAAAACATTCTCTTCCTTTGGTATTGTGAAAATATGCTCTCTTTGTGTGTTGTTGTTTTTTTTTTTTTTTTAATTGTCTAAAGTTTTACATGTGTCTTCTTCCCTGCCCCCCCCCCCCCAGCCATTCCCATCCTGGGCAAGCCCTCTCTGCCCCAGTGTCTGTGTCCATTGGATATGCTAATATGCATGCATACATGTCCTTTGGTTGCTCTCTAACACCCCATCCCCTACCATTTGTCTCTGGATCTATTCTTGTTCATCAAATTATGTTGATAATTATATCTCACAAATGAGTGAGATCATGAGATATTTATCTTTCTCTTCCTGGCTTATTTCACTTAACATAATCAGTGATTCCCTCTCATCATTGATGTTTCTACCTTTCTGTTCCTCTCCCTTCATAAAATATATATATATATATATATATATATATATATATATACACACACACACACACACACACATATATGCACGCACACGCGCGCACATACACACATATGAAGTTCGGTGCATGAAATTTGTGCATGGGGTGTGTGTCCCTCAGCCCAGCCTGTACCCTCTCCAATCTGGGACCCCTCGAGGGATGTCCGACTGCCCTCTCACAATCCAGCACCACTAGCTCCCAATTGCTCCCTGCCTGCCTTCCTGATTGCCTTTTACCACTTCTGCCTATCAACATAATGACCGTATAACCACTCCCCTGCCAGCCTGATTGATGTCTAACTGCTCCCCTGTCAGCTTGATTGCCCAAAACTGCCCTCCCTTGCAGTCCTGGTCACCCCTAACTGCTCTCCCCTGAAGGCCTGTGTCCCTCCCTAACTGCCCTTCCCTGTAGGCCTGGTCTCCCCCAACTTCCCTCTACTGACTTGGTCACCCCTAACTGCCCTCCCCTGCAGGCTTGATCACCCCCAAATGCCCTCCCTTGCAGGCATGGTCCCTCCCAACTGCCCTCCCCTGATGTTCTAATAGTCCACAACTGCCCTCCCTTGCAGGCCTGGCCTCTCTCAACTGCCCTCCCCTGCTGGCCATCTTGTGGCAGCCATTTTGTGTCCACAGGGGGGAAGCCATCTTGTGTGTTGAAGTGATGGTCAATATGCATATTACTCTTATTAGATAGGATAGAATCCTGGTGCAGGGGTGGGGGCTGGCTTGTTTCCCTGAAGGATGTCCTGGATCAGTGTGGGGGATCCCTGGAATCATGGGGAGCCTGGGCTAGGGATCTTTAGAGGTCCCAGATTGGAGAGGGTGCAGGCTGGGTTGAGGAATACCCCACCCCCACACCGTACACGAATTTCATGCACATGAATAATAGGCATTCAGGAGGAGGAGGAGTCGGAGCATGAAATATAGAGTCTATTCAAACAAATAGTGGAGAACTTTCCAAACCTATGGAAAGAACTAGATCTTTGAATCCAAGAAGCCAACCGAATACCTAGTGTCCTCAATCCAAAGAGGCCCTCTCCAAGGCATTTGTTATTGAAGCTGTCAAAAATTATTGACAAAGCAGCCAGGGAAAAGAAAGAAGTGACCTACAAAGGAAAACTCATCAGAATTTCATCCTACTTTTCAACAGAAACTCTCCAGAAGAGAGTGGAAACAAATATTCAAATGTCTGAAAGGGAGAATTTACCAGCCACTAATAATATATCCAACAAAACTATGCTTTAAATATGATGGAAAAATAAATATTCTACGTGAAACAAGGAACATAAGGTTGATCTTCATTTTTTAAGAGTAATGGGTTGAAAACTCTATAGTGTCACTTTTTCTGTTTTTAGTACTTCTGGAATTATTTAGATGTAGTCAGAGACTTCACAATTTTACCTTTCATATTTGGCACTATGTACATAATAGGGAAGAACAGATTTTCAATTTAGATTACATTTCTGTTCTTAGGGAAAAACATTAAAATAAAAATTGGTAAGCATTTAATATGTGGTGGGAACATAGTGTTTGATATTTATGGTAAAAGAAGAGAGTTTGCCGAAACCAGTTTGGCTCAGTGGATAGTGTCAGCCTGCAGACTGAAAGGTCCCAGGTTTGATTCCGGTCAATGGCATGTACCTTGGTTGCGGGCACATCCCCAGTAGGGGGTGTGCAAGAGGCAGCTGATCGATGTTTCTCTCTCATTGATATTTCTAACTCTCTATCCCTCTCTGTAAAAAATCAATAATATATGCATACATATATATATGAGAGAGATTATTATGTTCATTGCACAATTTGTGCATAGTATTCATGTGAATCTAAATAATATTCTTAAAGGCTGTATAGCAAAGAATCAAATTTTTAAAGTATACTTAAAATGTAAGTAATATTCTCAAATAATACTGCTTTATAAGATTTTGAAGTATAACATATGTTAGTAAATTTAGAAATGTACCAAATTTCTGCTTTGAAGTTGCCTTCCATTGAATCGGCAAAAATTAAGATATGTACTAAGATTTTATTTTGTAATGACTTCTGAAAAACCCTTTTTATAAAATTATTCAGGTATTTTCTGTGTTCCCTCTTTTTTTCTAATCCTAAATTTCACATGTTAGTTGGTTTTAGAAATATAACTTTTTAGATTTGGGAATTTTTATGTGAGCATATTTTATTACCACTACTTAAAAAAAAAAGTATCTTCATTGTTGAGAATATTCCAGATATCCTTCCCCCTTTTTTTTCCATATTGACCTGATACATCCTACACTCCCCCCCACCAGGCCTTCACCACACTATTGTTTGTGTCCATGGGCTATGCATATATGCATTGAAGTTTCCCAGTTAATCAAACCCCTGCCTTCCTTCTGAGATTCATCTATGTGTTTCATGCTTCTATGTCTCTGGATCTATTTTGTTCATCAGTTTAATTTATTCATTAGATTTCACGTATAATGAGGTCATATGATACTTATATTTCTCTGTCTCATTTTGCTTAAAATAATACTCTCCAGGTCCTTCCATGTTGCCTCAAATAGTAAGAAATCCTTTTTCACACCTGCATATTATTCCATTGTATAAATGTAGCACGATTTTTTTTATCTACTCATTTATTGATGGGCATTTGAGCTGTTTCCATATATTAGCTATTGTAAATTATGCTGCTTATAGGGGTGCATATATTCTTTCTGGGTGGTGTTTCATGGTTTTTTAGGATATATTCCAGAAGTGGGATCACTGAGTCAAATGACAGTTCCATTTTTAAATTTTTGACCAAATTCCGTAATGTTTTCCATAATGGCTATATCAGTCTGCATTTCGACCAGCAGTGTAATAGAGTTCCCTTTTCTTCACATCCTCACCAGTACTTGTCTTTTGTTGATTTGTTGATGATAGCCATTCTGACAGCGTACATCTCTTAGGGCAAGGGAAACTAAGGAGAAAATAAACAAATGAGACTACATCAAATTAAAAGCTTCTGTACCGGAAAAGACATCAACAAAATGAAAAGGGTGCCCATTGCATGGGAGAACATATTTGACAAAGATGTATCTGATATGTAGTTAATTCCCAAAATATATAATGAACTCATACAACTTAACAAAAGGAAGACAAACAATTTAATTAAAAATGGTGCAAGGGCCTAAATAGACAGTTCTCCAAAGTGGACATACAGATGGCCAAGAGGCATATGAAAAAAGCTCAGTCACTAATCATCTGAGAGATGCAAATTAAAATAACAATGAGGTATCACCTCACACTTATCAGATGTTCTAATTTTTATGTTATTAAATTTGGTATTAGGATTTGACAAAATGTTGAATGTTAAAGAAGGTTATTTTATCTTTCCCAAACCATTTTAATTAAAGCTATATAGTTATGAAATGTTATATATACATACATATATATATATATATATTGAAATCTGTGAATAGGTTTTTATATAATTGTGATCATGAAGTATATCTGTTGTACACTTTTTTTTTCATGAAACATGCCACTTTTAATGGTTGTATAATAGGTCATTAAGTGAATACAGTGGGTAGGTGGTTAACACGCTATTTCTTGTTGCACTTAAGCTTAACACACACTAAATGTCAATGTTACTTTTTATATTTTACAGTGGATGATGTTGGGGGGAAATTGGAGCATATGGGGAACACACCATTAAAAATCGGCAGTGATGGTTCACAAGATGTTAAAGAAGATGGATTTGGTTCAGAAGTAATAAAAGTGTATATATTTAAAGCTGAGGCTGAAGATGATGTTGAAATAGGTACAAAGAGTTTGTTGCTCTAATATTCAATAATTAGAACTTACTCATCTTTTCTAGAGACTGTACTAAAATTGACTTAAGTGCATATTTTTTATAGGTTTCTTTGGAGATGGAATATAAAAATGCATATGAAATATAAAATGAATTCAGAATATATCATACTTAGACTCTCAAACAGTAGAATATTACAGTTGAAATATTAAAACAGATGAATGGGTAGGATTTAGTTTATTGGTGAAAATTATAATGAGTATTTAAGGACAGGCTAGAATAGTCTGCTTGGATTTCAGTCCTAATTCTGACATTTAGTTGAGTGGCCTTTTGTGATTTACTTAACCTTCTTCTGCCTTAGTGTTCTCATCCACAAAGTAAGCCATAATGATAATAACTATCTCATAGGGCTTTTGTGAAGATTAAATGGTTAAATGCATATAAATATCTGATAGGATGCTTGGCGTATAGGTGTGATGTGTTATATTTGTTACTTGTCAGTGATGTATAAAAAGTTAAACTGTAAATTATAAGAAAATTTTCTTGACATTTATAAACTTATATTGGAATATTTTAGAAGAATGTTTCTAAAGAAAAATATTTATTAGATTCCCCTTATTACTTTAAGAAATTATTCCATGATACTTCTCTATTTTGATATGTGTTTTAATTTTTTAAGGTGGAACAGAAATTGTCACAGAGAGTGAGTATACCAATGGACATTCTGTAGCTGGAGTGCTTGATCAGAACCGAATGCAACGGGAGAAGATGGTTTACATGGCAGTTAAAGATTCTTCTCAAGAAGATGATATCAGTAAGAACAAAAGAGCACTAGAGTAACTTATTAGTTATCATCATACATTCTTTTAAAAAATAAAGTATTCCCAGGAATTACAAGCACTATATAGGAAAAAAGTCACTAAAATAAGCTAGACCCTTTGCTAAAATAATTTAAAAGGGAAGGGTCCTTTTGACCATTCATGGATACATGTATTGTTCAAATTAGCAAATATGAAATACTATGTTCATATACCAGGGATACAGAGATCAGCAATATACTGTTACTGGCTTCAGTAGAACCCACAAAGATACAGGGAATTATGGAGAATCTACTTTCTCTGTGTTAATGGATATGTCATGTGTATATTATCTCATTTAATTCTCACACCTCATCTATGAAGTAGGTGGTATTATCCCTGTTTTATACAAGAAGAAAATGCTCAAGGAAGTTAAGTAATTACCCAAGATCATTCCAATATTAAGTGAGGAAGGTATGATTTTAATTCCTATCTATCACTCTACTGCCAGTGTTCTTTCGCATGGCAATTACCACTGTTGGCCTTTATCTGGATTTAGCAGTGGAAGGGGAATCTGATTGTTTGCCTACTATTCCTGAAGGATTAGTTGAGTAAGTATTTTTCTAAGTCACGTTGCCAGAATCGTTACTTATGATGCCTTTGATAGTATCCAAGTAGTTGCTACTTAAGGCTTATTAGGGCTGAGTACCACAAAGTGATCCTCAGATTTCCTTTCTTGCCATTTCCTTATGGAGACATTTTATTCTTTTCCTACTTTCTCCTCACCTCTTTGTAGGAATGCAATCCTTCCCTAAGGCTTCTTCTGTCTTCTTGTCATACTAAGACAAAAACTACTTTGTTTTGCCCTACAAGTGCAAGAGCCTCAACTTATTATAAGTGCATTACCTTGACAGTACCCATCTTTACCTATACTGCATTTTGATCCCCACTCCTCAAATTTCCTGCCCTTAAAAGCCATAGGGAACTGGATTCCAATCCCAAAAATGAATAATATACTACACCTGAAAATATTAAAACAAATTCGTCTAAAGTATTTGATTGGAGAAGTAGAGAGTTAAATGAATTAATTTTTATTTGATCTCTAAATTCTTTATTTTTATTTTTTCATCATTGGTAAGTAAAGGGGCACAGTAGAAGGTGGAAGATGGAGACTTAGGTTACCTGATTCCAGAATTCCATGGGAATGTAGGTAACTTAAACCAATGACTGGTTAATTGAAAGAACAGAAACTGAGAAGAGGACTACTTTTCTCCCTTAAAGCATAAATCTAGGGCAATTTTCTGTTTAACAGCTTAAATATAAATGGATTCTTTCACATAAAATATACTAATTAACCTTCTTAGTTTAAATTTTTTACATCAGTACTATATTTTTTAAAATGAATCTCATTTATTGCTTTTTTTCCTTTAATAAAGTCTCAGAAAATCCTGTCTTTTGACTGAAAGGGCATCCACATATTCTTGAGCACCAGTAATATGTTTTTATATGTGAATTTAAAATGTTTCATTATTAATATTTTTGACCATTTTTCATTGAATATACAGTACCGTATATGAGTTGCAATATATGAGATATCATGGACCACTTTTCTAGTATTGATGCTATGGGAAATGCTTTCTGAGTTCCAAAGAACTATCAGGCAGAATTATGGAATACATTCTTTTTAATAAAGTTATGCCAATGGACTATAAAACCAGTCAGTATATTTTAAGCACACATATTTTATATATATCTAAAAGCCATTTTTATAGGACTAGGTTCCAAGAGGAGAAAAATAATTTTGATAAATTATTTTCTCCCACTGGCACTAGTTTCTAAATTACCCATTGTAATTTTTAAATTAGCCAAATTGAAATAATGAAACTTAAAGGATTTAAATTGTTTGGAAGTTTTACCCATTTATTAAATATTTAGGGTTATAAACAAGCAGTTATTTCTAAAATTCTGAAATTGCAGATGAAGTTTATATGGAAGTCATTGTAGGGGAAGAGGAAGGAACTTATCTCCCTGAAACTGAGCTTGAGGACTCTGATGTTAATAAAACAATTGCCCCTGTTGCCTGGGCTGAGGCATATGGTAAGACACTGGCATTTTTTTTTTTTACCTGATAAGTACATAACATATCTATTTGATCAGCCTTTAAGTCATTAAATATGCTGTGCTAATACCCTTTATGAATTGGCTAATATAAAATTAGAGGCCCAATGCATGAAATTCATGCAAGGAGCTTGTCCCTTGCAGCCCCAGCTTCATCTGAATGGTCATTCCACTTTTGGGCCATTTGGTCGATATGCATATTATGCTTTTATTATTATTGCTTTAGATTGATTCATCTCTAGTTACCTACATGATTTTCCTACCAAATATATTGTGCTATTTAAAATGAACCTTGCTTAATGCATTGTGTTTTTCAAATAGGATTTATTTTAAATCCTATCTATATAAGTAAGTGCCATAAATTTTTTTGATTTTTCTAAAATAGGGATAGCCTTTGAAAATTGATCATTGCCATTTTGGAAATCGTATTTTCATGTTTTAACACCACAAATAATAAGAGTTTGAGTATTTGAAAAGGAATAAAAGTCCAGATTATAAAAATTAAATTTATCAAGTTATTTTTTTCTTTCTATTTTATTTCATTCCTTAATTTACAAGATGGTCCATGAATATTCTGAAAAATTTTGTTCAAATGTATTAACTTATCTTAACTTGGTTTTTCTAAAGGTTTATTCATTCAAGAGTCTTTCATTGAAAATCTTCAATTTTAATTAGTCTTTTTTTTTTTTTTTCTTAGTAGATGAAAGAAGAGTTTCAAGAAGGTATGAAGATTGTCAAGCATCAGGTGAGAGAGCTTTATATGTGAGTCGTAAGTCAAAAAATACAAAAATTTTGTATATGTTTGGCAGATGGAGTTATTAGTTTACTAGTGGCCAGGTGCACAAAATTCGTGCACATATAAAAGGGAATTAATTAGAGGAAATATTTTAATATTGCTATTTGCCCTTTCTCTATAACAGAAGTGTCAGAGATGAAAGAAAATTAGTAAAATATATATGAAAATCTCCTTCCTGCCAGAGTCTGGGGCATGCAGTGGGACCTAGAGTCAGATTCCCGCCCACCACCCGCATGGGCTATGAAAACACAGAGGTCCCAGACCTGACCAGCCCCACCCCCATTGCGTTAGACTCAGACCTGGCTGGCTCCCCCCTCCAGGAGAGTGCAGCCTCAGGGGGGGGGGGGAGTCTGAGGTTTCCTGTCAAATGCTGCTGGGGGTGGGGGGGGCAGCCTGAGGTCCCCTGTCAGGCGTTATGCAGGCTCAGGTCCCTGCTGTTCAGTTGTTACATTACAGCATCCTGGCCAATTTGCATATTCTTCTATTATTAATATAGATGTGTACAGACACATTTTGGGGGCTTTTACTTGCCTGACCATATCTCATTAATTACATAGGAATTTGCCTATTTATTAAATACATAAATAATTTGTATTATTCTGTGAGTGCAGTTAATTTGCATTTACTTTAAAATACAAATACCAGGCAACTTACCACATTCTTTATAAAAGACTTCTATGGAAAAATATATAAATTATTTTGACAGAACTGTAAAAATTGTCCATGATATCAACTATTTGTTAATATCTTTTTGGGGGCAGACTAATTTTTTTTTATCACAGCCAGTAGATTTATATAATTGTTAGATAAAACCCATGTGTCAGCTTAATTTTTTGTTATTTTAACACACTCTATATAGTGTTATACCATGGTTAATAGTTCATTTTCTTAAGCAGAGACTTTATCTTATGATAAAGTGTATGTCTATTCAATTTTTATCTTTAGGAGGTATTTGACTATATTGAAATGTAGATTTCAGAGGAATTTCTGAGAGGCAAAAATTGGAGCATATAATCTACAGTGTTTTGTAGGTCTAGATTTTTAAACTAAATTGCATAACAGCAGATTTGTGAGAACTGAGATTTTATTAAGTGCTTTATTCTGTTTATTACACTGAATACACTGACATTGTAGTAAATTGCCTGCCACATCTATCTTAAAATAAATCTTAATATTTTTCACATCAAGTAAACTATTCTAAAGCTTATATATAAGAGATGTTTGTTATGTGTTACACATAGTTACCATGACTATATAGGTTCACTGACACATGTATTTCTTTTCTAAATCTCTTTAATTTCATCAGCCTTCATTGGTGATAAATTGATCTGATGCCAAGATTTTGTTTAGGTTCATAACAACTTTTTATATTACATTCACCTCATCAGTTTATTTCTTTAGGATAATAAATTGGGATATTTTAAAATTAATTTCATGTAATATCTTATTTGAAGCATTTGCATAAGCATGTGTGTTTATGTAAGTATGTAAAAGAGGGATAATGTAGGTATACTTTGTGAAATGTAATACCACGTTAAATTCAGTACCATAAGGACAACTTAATGCCATGTCATCTCTTGTAATTCATCTAACAAAATGTATAAATATATGTATTTTAATTTTGTATCAATTTTTCAGAAAATACTTTGGACTCAACATTAGAAAACAGAAGTAGTACAGCAGCACAGTACATTCAAATTTGTGATGGCATTAATACAAATAAAGTACTTAAACAAAAACCCAAGAAGAGGAGAAGAGGAGAAATGAGGCAGTGGCAAACAGGTAAAATACTAATACTTTGCTTTGTTAATATTATAATGATTTGAAAAGTGGAGTTATTTTTTTATAATGGAAGAATATATCAGTTGTTTATAGTATAGCTCTACTCCCACATACCTGTTTGTGTTTGATCTAAGTAGTTGTGTTTCTTTAAATGTGTTTGACTTGTACTTAATAAAACTATAATTGTTTGTTCTTTACCCAAATGGTGTTTTAAAGGGAATTGTCAAGTTGGTTTAACAATAAAGGGTGCCTGTTTCTAGTTTACAAATGCATGTAATATAGTATTTTGGCAGATGAGTAATATATAGCAGAGTGCTGCTCATTAATTTTTAGTGGACTACTTTATCATAAATTGTTTTTAATGTGCATTTTATCTTAGATTTTATTCCACTAGTATAGTTCTCACAGTGTGATTATTAGCTAATTTTGGTGCTTTTTTTGTAAAATATTTTTAAACTGTCTAATGTCATAACTTCCCTATTTTTTTTAATCTAGCTGTTATAATAGGCCCTGATGGACAGCCCTTGACAGTATACCCTTGCCATATTTGCACAAAAAAGTTTAAATCAAGGGGATTCTTGAAAAGACACATGAAGAATCATCCTGATCATTTGATGAGAAAAAAATATCAGTGTACAGATTGTGACTTTACAACTAACAAGAAAGTGAGTTTCCATAACCACTTAGAAAGCCATAAGCTTATAAACAAAGTTGACAAAACCCATGAATTTACAGAATATACACGAAGATACAGAGAGGCTAGTCCACTGAATTCAAATAAACTTATACTAAGAGATAAGGAGCCGAAGATGCACAAATGCAAATACTGTGACTATGAAACTGCAGAACAAGGACTGTTAAACAGACATTTACTGGCGGTTCACAGCAAGAATTTTCCACATGTTTGTGTTGAGTGTGGGAAGGGCTTTCGACATCCTTCTGAACTCAGAAAACACATGAGAACCCATACTGGTGAGAAGCCGTATCAGTGTCAGTACTGTGTTTTCAGGTGTGCAGATCAATCAAATCTGAAAACTCACATTAAGTCTAAGCATGGTAACAATTTGCCATATAAATGTGAGCATTGTCCCCAGGCATTTGGTGATGAAAGGGAGCTTCAACGCCATTTGGATTTGTTTCAAGGACATAAGACACACCAGTGTCCTCATTGTGACCATAAGAGCACCAACTCAAGTGACCTAAAGCGGCACATCATATCTGTCCACACTAAGGATTTTCCTCACAAATGTGAGGTCTGTGATAAAGGTTTCCATCGTCCTTCTGAGCTCAAAAAGCATAGTGATATCCATAAGGGTAGGAAGATTCATCAGTGTAGGCACTGTGACTTTAAAACATCAGATCCTTTTATTCTTAGTGGTCATATTCTTTCAGTTCATACTAAGGATCAGTCATTGAAGTGTAAAAGGTGCAAGAGAGGGTTCAGACAACAAAACGAGCTCAAAAAGCATATGAAGACCCACACTGGAAGGAAGATTTACCAATGTGAGTATTGTGAGTACAGTACAACAGATGCATCTGGCTTTAAACGACATGTGATATCAATACATACAAAAGACTACCCACACAGATGTGAATTCTGCAAAAAGGGATTCCGAAGACCATCAGAAAAAAATCAGCATATTATGAGGCACCACAAGGAAGCTCTTATGTAATAAGACCAATATTAAGAAATAAACTCTGGAAAATATGATATGCTACATGACAGTAAAACTTCATAAACTTTTTCATCTGGTTATGAACTTGATATTAAATCATAACTACATTCTTTGTATTAAAAACATTTGAACTGACAGGGTATCTCATAACCCTTTGAAAACTACTTAAAGAATTTGAGAAGTACCATAGAATGATTATAGGAAAACCTATTAAGTGTCAGTTTAATAGGATTATATGCATAAATGTCAGAAGGGAAGAGCAAACACAATGACTTTATTTGGCTGATCATACTAGAGACATGATTCTGGAAAAAAAAAATCTTATGTAATTTAAGAGGTTAGCAATGCTTTGCTATGACAAGCCTCACTTTTATGCAATTTTAGAAATGGGGTGGGAAGTAAAATGCAGTTATCCATCAGGCATTTTGTCATTGAGCCTTTTATATGATACCTGGAAATTGAATTTCAGAAATCTAAAAGTTTATCCATTAAAATAACTTTCATTGAAAATCAGGTTAGATTAATTCAATAATATTAAAAAGAATTTCAGAGCTGCTAAAATTTTATCACAGGACAGGATGTTTAAAATATAGGAAGTTTAAGGATTAAAGTTCCCTTTTTATGCTGTTTGAGTTGATTATTATTGTTCATTATGGCATATATGACAAGCATATATTTGAGTCAAATATGGCTTTCTAAAACGTATGCAACCAGTAGTGTTGCAAAGTTAGCACTATATTTCTTAATGATCTAAAGATTAAATTGAGAAAACACAGTTTTCTTAAAGATTATAATGTTTAGTGTTTTTCTTTTTAGGACAGCAAGTTTGATGGTTCTAGCCTTACTTGCTCTAATGTTTAAAGGTGCAATTTTATGCCATTCTTGAAATTTTTGATTTTTAAAATCTCTATATATATACCATATAATTAACATGCATTTTCAATATGAGGCAGTGTTTATGCAGTATTTAACAAAACACTGTGCTGCCAATAGAATTCAGCAGTGGATATTCAGTTTACAGTGTATAAATTTAAAATATGCATCCCTTTAACAACGCTTTGTGTTAGCATGCTGGAAATCAAAATGGCGCTTAATATAAAAAGCTGGTTTAAAGAAATTTAATGAAATTATGTTCATAAATGTATTGCATATGATGTGTACTCTTAAGTTTTAGTTGCTTCATATTTACACTCAGCTGTTCAACATTATTAAAATGTAATTTTACTTCATGCTATATTGTGGCTTTGTATTTCAACTAATGTTCACTTTTCTGTTTTTGCACCAGATAAGAATCAGTTTCTTGAGAATAAATTTTTTATCTTTCTTAACTTCAGAATATTAAATTTGGAAAATCTAAAATTGTGTGTTATGTGACTGTAAATGATGTACACGCTGTAAAATAAGATTGTCTCTGTTACGTGGGATTATTTCTAAATGTTACTCATTGAAATGAGCATACAATAAAAAGCATTTATTGCACTTCAAGGTTGTACAAATTTATTTAAAGGTTTTTTTTTTTTGCTGTAATGTTCATTCTTTATTAAGAGCCTTTTCACTTAAAGTTGCTCTTGGCCATTTAGTCCGCAGGTTAACATGTAGAATTTTGATCTTTAGCAACAATATGAGTTAAGAAGTTAAAGAATTATAATGATTATGACATGATTATTCCTCAAAAGCACAAACTTTTGCTAAAACTATGACAGAATGCTATAAAAGTGCCCATCTTACGACTTGATATTTAATATTATAGAGACAGCAAAATATTTTTAACCTGCTTAAGTAACACAATCCTGAGAAATGAATCTAAAATTATGTTACTAAGAGCAATATTCATTTATTTATTTATTTATTTATTTACTTTATTGTTTAAGATATTACATATAGTAGAACATATATCTCCTTTTTTCCCTCATTGACCTTCCCCCAGCCTCCTCTAACCCCTGTCACATGGCCTCATCCCACACCCCCGGTGTCTTATGTCTAGTGGTTGCACTTATATACATGAATACAAGTCTTTTGGTTGATCTCTTTCCTCTCCTCCCCAAACTCCCCAGACTTCCCACTGTAATTTGACATTCTGTTTGAAGCTTTCCTGCCTCTGTGTCTATGTTTTTGTTCATCAGGTTATAATATTCTTTATTTTTCATAAATGAGTGAGATCATGGTATTTTTCTTTCATTATCTGGCTTATTTCACTTAACATAATGCTCTCCAGCTCCATCCATACTGCTGCAAAGGGAAAGAATGCCTTCTTTTTATAACAGCGTAGTATTCCATTGTGTACATGTACCATAGCTTTCTAATTCACTCATCTGGTGATGGGCAATTAGGCTGTTTCCAAATCGTAGCTATGGTGAAGGACATAGGGGTGCATATGTCCTTTCTGATTCATATTTCTAGTTTTTTGGTGTATATTCCTAGAAGTGGGATCACTGGGACAAATGGGAGTCCCATTTTTAATTTTTTGAGGAAACTCCATACTGTTCACAGAGGCTTCACCGGTCTCCATTCCCACCAGCAGTGCACGAGGGTTCATTTTTCTCTGCCTCCTCGCCAGCACTTGTCATTTCTTGATTTGTTGATGATAGCCATTCTGGCAGGTGTGAGATGGTACCTCATTGTCGTTTTGATTTGCATCTCTAAGATAATTAGTGATTTTGAGGATGTTTTTATGTGTCTCTTGTCCTTCCTTCTATCTTCTTTCATAAAGATCCTATTTAGGTCCTTTGCCCATTTTTTTTTTATTGAATCATTTATCTTTTATTAGTTGTATAAGTTCCCTGTAGATGTTGGAGATTAAACCTTAATCAGTGATAACATTTGCAAATACGTTCTCCCATGCAGTGGGCTTTCTTATTGATTTTTTGATGGTTTCTTTTGCTGTGCAAAAGCTTTTTATTTTGATGTAGTCCATTTGTTTATTTTCTCTTTAGTTTCCATTGCCCTAGGATTGGTATCTGAAGAAATTGCTTCGGCATATGTCTGAGATTTTGCTGCCTGTGGATTCCTCTAGTAACTTTATGGTTTCCTATCTTATGTTTAAGTCCTTGATCCATTCTGAGTTTATTTTTGTGTATGGTGTAATTTGGTGGTCTAGTTTCATTTTTTGTTTGTATCTGTCCAATTTTCCCAACACCGTTTATTGAAGAGACTATCTTAACTCCACTGTATGTTCATACCTGCTTTGTCAAATATTAATTGACCAAAGTGGTTTCAGTCAATATCTAGGTTCTTTATTCTATTCCATTGGTCTATAGGTCTGTTCTTATGCCAGTAGCAGGCTGTTTTGAGAACAGTGGCTTTGTAATACAGCTTGAAATCTGGTATTGAGATCCCACCTCCTTTGTTCTTTTTTCTTAGGATTGCTGTGGCTATTTGGGGTCTTTTCTTATTCCAGATGCATTTTTGGAGAATTCTTTCTAGGTCTGTGAAATATGCTATTGGTATTTTAATGGAGAGTGCATCGAATCTATAGATAGCTTGGCGTAGTATGGACATTTTAATAATGTTGTTTCTACCAGTCCATGAACATGGTATGTTCTTCCATCTGTTTATGTCTTCCTCTATCTTTTTTCCCCCAGTGTCCTGTAGTATTCCACATATAGGTATTTTACTTACTTAAATTTATTCCTAGGTGTGATGGTAAATGGGATTGCTGTTTTGGTCTCTTTTTCTGTAAGTTCACTATTGGTGTTTAGAAATGCCATAGATTTCTTGGCATTAATTTTGTAAAATTCTTAATCTTAAATATGCCTATTTACAGGGGGAAAAAGACTCATCTCACAAAAAGTCAGAGGAACAAAATAATCCTCTTGTTCAGATATCTTGTTCAGATATGTTGGTGAGAATAAAAATAAATCTAGCCTAATTCTATCCAATAAGGTTTTTTCGCTTTTAATAGGGATTCTTTTGGAGAAAATACAGAACTAAATCAGTGCTCTAGAACATAATTGGATTAGAGAATATTTCCAACTTTGCTCAGCTCCATTCGATTCTTTAAAAATAATTAGCTTGTAAATTTGATACTGGTTTAAGAAGGTGTCTTAGAAACTTGGATCCTAGATAATCACTGGCTAGTGTTATTGGTAGTTTAGAGGCTCTGAAAAAGAAATTGTGATGCTTTCAGGGTCAAGACTACAGCACTAGATAATCCCAAATGAAAAATATTTTCACCTGCTTTGTTCCAGTTGCTTAGTTTTCTCTTTGAACATTACCCAGATAACTATTTCAAAGAGAATTCTGCTTCGTTTTAAAATTTGGACCAATTGGCAATATTTAAACTATCCTATTTTGCCCATATGTAAGTCCCAATAACCACCTCTCTGACCCCAAAACCCTTCATACTAGGTCCCAATAGCAACTACTCATAACATGGCTAGCTCATCAGACTCCTTTAGGGAACTACCTCATAAAGCCTATATACTCTCCTATTTTAAGAAATTGCTCTGAAGTATTATACCTTGGCACACATTAGCTAGGAGCATCTAACATTGATTGTGTTAGCAAACCAGATACTAAATCACAGCGTTATATTGCAAAAGCTATTCCTTAACACAGGATCACTGGAACATAAAATTTAATAATAAAAAATCCTATGTAATAAAAGAGTAATATACAAATTGACTGTATTTCAGCTACACCCACAAACCACTCACACTAGCCAATCAGGAGTGAGTATGCAAATTAACCCAACCAAGATGGCTATGGCCATGGAGCAAGCAGGAGGTTTGGGTTTCCCCGGCAATGGAGGAAGCCAAGCTTACCCACACACTCTGGCTGGCCTTGGACTCCACTCAAGGCTACAAAGCTTCAATTATAGGAGATAAATAAATCCCAATAAAAGTGGCCACATAGCAAGCAGGAGGCTTGGGTTTCCCTGGCAATGGAGGAAGCCAAGTTCCTTGCCTGCCCTGGCCTCTTCTGAAGGTTACAAAGTTTCAATTATAGAAGATAAATAAATCCCAGATACCAGGGCCTCCGCTTGGGATTTTTGGGGGGCGTGGCCAGCCTGCAAACCACCACAGGCTCTTCACCCAGGCCGCCCTATGGCCCAAGGGTACCCCCACACTGATCCAGGACACCCTTTAAGGCAAACCAGCTGGCCCCCACCCGTGCACCAGACCTCTTGTCCTATCTAATAAGAGAGTAATATGCAAATTGAACATCACTCCAACACACAAGATGGCTGCCCTCATGTGGACACAAGATGGCCAGCAGGGGAGGACAGTTGGGAGGGATCAGGCCAGCAGGGGAGGACATTTTGGGGTGATCAAGCCAGCAGAGGAGGGAAGTTAGGGGTGACCAGGCCAGCAGAGGAGGGAAGTTTGGGGTGACCAATTTTGCAGGGAAGGGCAGTTGGGGGGTCCCCAGGCCTGTAGAGGAGAGCAGTTGGGGGGACCAGGCATGTAGGGGAGGGCAGTTAGGGGCAATCAGGCTGGCAGGGGAGCAGTTAGGCATAAATCAGGCTGGCAGGGGAATGGTTAGGAGGTGATAAGGCAGGCAGGCAGAAGCTTTTAGGGGCAATCAGGAAGGCAGGCAGACGATCAGTTGGGAGCCAGCAGTCCTGGATTGTGAGAGGGATGTCTGCTTGTTTAGGCCCAACTGCCCTTCCCTAAAACAGGCAGTCAGACATCCCTGGAGGGATCCCAGATCGGAGAGGGTGCAGGCTGGACTGAGGGACACACACCCCCTGCACGAATTTTGTACACTGGACCTCTAGTTATTTTAATGTAATAGGTTGGGAGACCAAACCATAGCATCTCATCTACAAGAGACCAGTCCAAGAAAGTTACCAAGACTGCCTGGCTATCATATAATTATTTCATTTAGCAATTCTAGCGTTCTTTTGTAGACTCAAAAGATGAATGTCTTATTTTGACACTAAATATTAAAAATTTTATTAAAATATGAAATTATTATATTATTTAATTTAAAACATTTATTATTTTATCCTAATATCAGCATGAAATACTTTATATTTTTATTAAACAGAAAGTACTATAAAAATCCAATAAATTTAATAATGGTGTGTGATGGTAGAAAGATACCTTGTAGAGAAGTTTTCTTACTTGCAAAAGAATTATGTCTACAAATCTTTGTAGGTTACAATAATGAGAAAGAAGTGAGAATGGCTTTTTGTTTAGGTAATCCAAATTGGGGGGTAAGATGAAAATTTTTAAACTTTATTTTAATCCTTTTGTACTTTTTGTATTAAGAAAGGTATTACAGTAAAGAATACTATTACAGGGATGGAAAGAATGCTTTATGGAATCATATTTGCAAATAAGTGAGTTATGAAAATTACAAGACTAGGTTTGTAAGACTCAGCTTTTAAATCAGAAACCTGCAACAATCAGAGATCCAACTATGTTGAATTGTTGTCACTAATAGTTCACATCAGGCCTTTTTTTTTTTTTTTTTTTTTTTTACAGTTAGAGGGATACTTTTAGTTCTAACATAAATATTCACATGATAGCAACTTCCTGACAAAAATGTATAGCTAAGGTAAAAACCTATCCTGTTGTTTCTTACTAGAACTTCCACAAAGACCATACAGATATTTCAAATATTTTATTTAGACACTTTAAATAACTTGTCTTGCATTTCTTGCAATCTCCATTTTATTTGACACCTAAAGTGAAACATACTCAAATAGAAATTAGTTAATAGGCATTTCTCACTCAACAACATTTTTTTTTTGCAAGTTTCAGAGAGAAGCTGTGCGAAACTTATGAGGGAAAAGAAATAACTACTATTTTTATTTATTTTAGTTACAAATTGGAAAAGAAATACATACATTTAAATTTATTAAGTGCAATAAGTACTTTGTTATGACAACTCCATTCAATCACTATGCTTAGATCAAGTAAGCCAATGACATGCTGACTGGAGTTATGCATTGTTATTTGAAAATTTCAGTTCTAATTTTCAAACAGTTATGGTGGCAGTTTTCTATTAGGCTACTAAAAACTTCCATTTGTATCATATGTAATAGCTAGGTAACATGGCATAATTTTCTTACAGTAACACATATGAGTAGTTAACAGAAGGGAAACTACCCTGTTGTCCCCAAACCAAGGGAAAAATGTAAGGACTATATAGCTCATGAAAAATATTAACATTTTCTATCACACAATATTGATAAAATTAGAATTGTGTCAATCCATTTTATAGAGCTTGACCTTTTAGTCAAAGTATTAAGATAACAAAATAAGGCTTTTAGCTTTGAATCAAAACCTATTTGAAAGTTATGAGTATTAAAAGCATCTTTCTTAATATGGCTTGATTTAGTGTAGTGCCTCTTCTGTTCCTATCTTAACATAGTATAATGAATAATTATTAAAGTATAATTATAAAGCATGACAAGTTCTATACAGATATTTGCAGAGATATTTCAATTCAAAAGCTTATTCAAATGTAACCCAAATATATTTGTTGCCTTAATCTATATTTTGTCAAAGGCAAAAATTTTAATTTTTGCTAATTCTTAACTTTAAGCAGAGTGATTGAAATTAAGAAATTTCATTCCTTTATACTAATATACTTAGAAAATACTTTTGTTCACTTTGTAAGGTCATTCAAATCGAATTAATCGAACAAATTCTAAGTTCAGTAATTACTATAAAAGCTCTTTATCCCAATTTAGATGCAGATATCAATAATTTGTTGCTTGTTTTTATTTTTTAAGCCTTTATGCAATATTTCAATGTCACATTATATATTCTATAAAAATGTCTACCTTCTTTCTACCCACTAATACAATATATTGTTATATGTTTTCAAGGAAGTGAGTGAGCTCATTTGGAGGCTGTTATGCTTTGAAAGAACAGATTTGCCAAGCCATTAATATGTACTTAGAACCATAATAGTACAAGGTGCAAGTTAGTGGATTTATTTATTTAAAAAATATTATCCCACTTCCCTACTTAATGAAGCTAACCATCACCCTTGAGTTAGTTATGTCTCTAAAAGGTATAAATAGCATGTAACGAAGCAGCTGTTTTAGTCATAAGATTCAATGTGAAAAAACACACAAATATATACTGTATAGACCATGCACTAAACTTTTTTTTTTTAATTCAGTAGTCTTTGCCTATTTTTTTTGTAATAAACAGTATCAATCCTTGTAGCTGAATTGCATATCTAATATCAGAGAATATCTTCTAGTGGAATAACTTGTAAAATTTCTACCCCAACAAATTAATTCAGTACCTAGGAAGCATGCTATTGAAAAATAGTGAATTATGTTCTATATTGACTGCTATGGAAGTTTAAATAAGTGATATGTTGCTATATTAATACAAGAATGTGGATTCAGGCCTCAAATGGTTGGAGAAACTCATCTTCAGGACTATTTCATTCCATTCGATTCACTGGGTTGTGCCATGGTTCAAAATTTTGATTGGCCTTTTGTTATGGAAAAATTAAAGTACCAATGCAAACCCCCCAAAAACTTGAGTTGGAGAGTCAGTCGTTCATGGCTAGAAAGGGAGAAAAAAAAAGTTAGTTTACAACTGGCTAATAATTTTGTTAAAATATATTTTTTACTGATTTTTTACAGAGAGGAAGGGAGAGGGATAGTGTGTCAGAAACATCGATGAGAGAGAAACATCAATCAGCTGCCTCCTGCACACTCCCCACTGGGGATGTGCCTGCAACCAAAGTACATGTCCTTGACCAGAATCGAACCTGGGACCCTTCAGTCCTCAGGCTGACACTCTATCCACTGAGCCAAACCGGTCAGGGCACAACTGGCTAATAATTAATTTTAGACATTGTCATGGTATGAACACAGTTTTGAAAAATGATTTAAATTGATAGATATAAAACCAAAGGAAATGCACTCTGTTTGTATGGTGCTCTTTTATATGTATATTTAATGATACAGTGATTTGTCTGACTTTAGTATACGGTAGGTATATATTTCAAATTACTTTAAGCATTAAAGAGGGATGATTTAGTAGCGTTCTCCCTTGATGTCATATTTAGATGTAAATATATCCAAAATTCTCTAATTGTTAAATATAGATTTTGAACTATCAGTATCTAGTCCTCTAAGTTATCAAGTTTAGTATTTATTGCTACACATTTTTAATGGTAACAGTAGTAATGACTACCATTCTGTATACCCTTTATTTGACAGATCTTCACATTGATGTAATCTCTGGGGCACATATAGTTAGTAGGAGCAATTGCTTTTTAGCCTTAAGTTTCAACATTAAATAATCCTCAGTGACAAATTTAAATCCTATACTGACTTGCCCTTGCTGCTCAGGTGGTTTTGGGGCTATCAGGTACCCTTTATTAATTAACAAGTAGTAATTAGTAACTCTCAAGTAATTAATGACCTAAGAAACACAACATATATCAAAACTCAAATTATTTTTATTTTTGGGTTACTAAATGTCGATTGGTTTTTTTGATGATAGAGAACCATTTATACAAGATTGGTGGCCTAATTGTAGTTTGAAAAGGGCTTCAAAGATAAACAATTTTGAAATTGATTTGTTCAATCAAAAGGTAATTTTTAAAAGGGCTTATTTAATAGATACTTAATTTTATTAACTTTACACCTGCAGTTATTTATGAACTATATAAATATAGTATTTTATTAACCATAAATCTGCCTCCAAATTGCCAATAACTATAAAATTTTTAATTTTCTTCAAAGCATTCTGCAATTGATTGACATTTATATATTTATATGTTTATATATTGTACCTTGTGGCATATTTGAGCATTTTAAGATTTTTATTAAAGTATTATAAACATGTAGAAAAAAGTGCACATATTAGTGTACAACTAAATGAATTTTCCCAAACTGAGCACATGCAGCCATCACCCAAATTAAAAAAAAACACACCAGCATGCTATTTGTACCCTAGTAGTCTTCCTTATTCTCACTTTAAATAAGTACCCATCCTCAAAGATAAACACTGCCTGAGTTTAATAACCAGAGGTTAGTGTTATCTGCTTTTAGTACCTTAGCAATTTTTAACAATTGTTCAAGTCAGATACTGTATTGTTTCCAAGCTAGGATTCTCAGCTTTTTTTCTCTCCATTGCACTTGCGGAATATCATACATTCCCATTACTATCAGTGAATTATTGTTACAATCTCCTGGCAGTACTATAGGAGTATGTAATTAGAAAATAACCTCAAGGTCATTCTGTTGTGTTAATAGGGTGTCAAACTCGGCACTATTAACATGTTAGGCTAGATAATTCTTTGTGGTGGGGGACTGTCCTATACATTGTAACATCGCTAGTCTTTACCCACCAGAGCCAATAGTACTCAATATCCAGATGTGAAAGAAAAAATAGTCTCTAGTGGTGCTAAGTGGTTAGAGCATTGGTCTGTGTACTGAAGAGTTTGATTCCCAGTCAAAAGCATGTACCTGGGTTTCAGGTTTGCTCCCTGGGCTCTCACACACACCCATTTAAAAATTATTTTAGATTTTTATTCTCCCCTTCTTTCCCCTCTTTCCTCTCTCCCTCTCTTCCACTCTATCTGAAAAGCAATTGAAAAAATATCCTCTGATAAGGATTAACAACAATAACGAAAATGTCTCCAAACATAAGGGAAAAATTTCTGCTGGTAGAGAACCACGATGCTAGAAAAAAAAAAAAAACCTTTGTTTCATGTTCATTAGTTTAAAGGTTAATAGGTTAATAAGTAGAAGTTTTAGGAGAGTAGCTTTCAGTCCTTCGGAAAAAGAGGGTTTTAGACTGCCAAATTACAGCGGGAAGGCCGAAGGAGGGAGGAAAGAGATCAACTGAAGAACTTGTATGTATGCATATAAGCATAACCAATGGATGCAAGACACTGGGGGGTGAGGGCATGTATGGGAGTGGGTTGGGGGGGGAATGTGGAGATATGAACACATGTAATAGCTTAATCAATAAAAAAGTAAAAAAAAGTAAAAGAGGGTTTTAGTAATTGTCCCCCTTACTAATGTATTGGACTATATAGAAACAGGCTAAGGTCTGTATCATCTTGTCATCCTGGAGAATGTTGTAGACATTAGATATTAGAGCAATGACATTTTAAGAACTCTTCTTCAGTTTAATTATAACTATGGATTTAAAGACAAATAATCTATAATCTAGTTAGAAAGCCAGGCATATTTTTTCTCTTTCAAAATCTTAAAAATTTAGAATTCACAGGACATGTATGATTGAAAGAATTATTAAAACACGCTTCTCCATCTTCCATTCCTCTTCATAATCATCTATAATATTTTATACCTGCTTCAGAAACAATAACGTTTTTGGAAATTTTTAATAGAATCATTTCAATCACTTGTAAGGTGTGCAAGGAAATAAAACCCAATGTTGCCGAGACCAGTTTGGCTCAATGGATAGAGCGTCGGCTTGGGGACTGAAGGGTCCTGGGTTCAATTCCGGTCAAGGGCATGTACCTTGGTTGCGGGCATATCCCCAGTAGGGGGTGTGCAAGAGGAAGCTGGTTGATGACTCTCTCTCATCGATATTTCTAACTCTCTATCTCTCTCCCTTCCTCTCTGTACAAAATCAACAAAAATATATATTTTTTAAAAAACCAATGTTAATTGTGTTCCTATCTGGGGTAAAATCATATCTAATTTATTACAGTTTAGATAATTAATTTTAATGCCCCATGTATGAATCATTTCAAAGTTTCTTATCTCTTACCATATATCAGTTAGGGGAATGTGGAAAAGTCTTAAGAGGAAAAAATACAAATTCTGTAAAATTTTAGTTCATTCTGATATTTTCCCAGAATTTTTAAAGGCTGGTATATATAAAGAATATACATGAATTTTAGTACTAACAGGACTAGAATCACTAAAGTGAACTTACAGAGGTCCATTTGTCTTCTGTTTTCTCAATTACAATTGTCTGTGTGTCGCTACCTGGTGGTATATATTCATAGTCATCATACAGGAGTCCTAGGATTGGATATTGTGTCCTGTACCTATAAAGAAAAAAGAAGTTAGCTTATAAGTTGCACATGAAAATAACATTCATTCCTACTTATTCACTCCTAGTTTGATTCCCCTTATTAAATTAATTTTTCTCTGCAAGACTTTTAATGTTTTCTTTTTAAAAATCCCCTGTTAATGTACGAAGATTTACAACTATTACTTCTATTTCTGGAAATAATGGACCACAGGCAGCATGAGATAACAAAGAAGGGAAGCAAGTGACATAAGCGCTAAGTATGCCTCGCTATTTCCTTGATCACAGCATAGGGAGAGGGAAGCCAAACAGATTCTAGCAGTCCCACCAAGTTGAGGTAACAAAATTTCAAGTAAAACATGCCAAAGCAGCCAGAATTTGTGGAGCAGAATAATAGACAGGAGAGAGCTACATAGATGGAGAGAGGTCAGGAGACCTGTGGAGGGTTGGCCACAGTCTTTGAGTGAATATGAATCATTGTCAGCGTTATCCAGACTTAGGAAAGAACCACTGAAAAAGAGTAGTATGGCAATTCCTAGAGCTCACATAATAATGGGAATAGTTTGTTCCACTAATCAGAGTGAAAAAAACTAGTATGGGAAAAACAAGCAGAGACTAGAGATTAGCCTTAGTGTAGGATGACATTAGTCCTAGACCATAGTTTGTTCTAATAGAGTTTAAAGGCAAGACTTGAAACTATTAAACTATTTCCAAGTAACTTAACTTTATCTCAAAATAAAACCACAAAATAGATAGATAAATAAATTGTAAATAGATAGATAGATAATAGAGATAGTGATATGCATATATAACTTATATGTAAATTATGATGCTGTAACTTGGATTATAAATAACCAAAGTCATATTAAATTTCATTAAAATACATTACTTTTTAGTAGTAGTAATTGTAGTCCTTCCACCACTGGAGGATTGGTTATGAGATGAATAAATCTCTTGTCTCAACTTCGAGAGTTCCTTACAAATAAAAGGTAGTATAATCATTTGAAAACAGTAGAAACATGAGGTAAGAAGTATGTTCGATCATTTAACAAGGTTACTAAGAATAATTACTTGTTTTTCTTTCTTGTTAACTTTTAAATGAAACGTTTTAATCCCATTTGTTGAATACTACAGATTCTTCCTTCATGGGACCCAATAAGGTACATTATATACCCAGGTAGCTAATCCATTAACTGGTAGAGGATTTCTATATTTGTGGGATAACATGAGATTGAATGGACATAGTTCTCAAGATGAATGTGAAAGATTTTGCCCTAAAATGCTTGACAAGTATAGCCATAAGAGAAGGTACTGAAACTTTGATATGGAAGCAGGCATTGTCTTCTAATAGAAAGTAAATTACTGAACGTTACTACAAGTACCATTTGTTCAATAACAACAATACATTAGCCACCATTTTTGGTAGTACTTTCCTTTGCTACTGATTTTATAACAGATCATGGCTATAAATTACAGATACAGATAAAAATATAAAATGGTCCCTTGCTGAAGCAACTAATAATCTAGTAAGGCGCTCACAGTCTTATTGGAAGTTTTACTGCTAACAAGATAATAAAATCAATGTCTTGATATTAAATGCACAATGGCACTTATTTGTGCTTCAATTCTAGCTTTCATTTGAATTATTTCTCCTGAAATGTGAATTTTTTACCTCTTTGCACTCACATTCTTCTTCATTAATAAAGTGAGTCTTAGAAATGTGTCCTTCTCTAATGCATGGAAAGTATTTATCCTACAGGACTGAGTTGCATTGTTCCTCTGTACCCTACCCCTTTCTTTCTTACCTCTGACTGACGCTTTATAAGGGAATCCTTCTCTTCCAGCAAGCTTGTCAGTTCATGAATCTTGAACTGGAAATCACTGCAACTTCCTTCTCTTCTTGAAACATCTTTTTGATACTGATTTAATTGAGTCTAATAATTTAAAAATAAATAAGAATGATTATAATGCCCATTTACAAGATAGGTAACTGAGTTCTAGACTGGTTAAGTGACAAAATCATATAGCTAACTATGAAATGAAGAGCTTTATGAATATAAAATATGAATTAAAATGCAAATTAGGAATTTCTCATCTTTTTAGAAGTGCCTTTACTAGTTAAGACTAGGCATTATGTAAGTAGCATTCTTAGGCTATAATTATTAAAGTAAAGCTTTAGATTCAAATTCCAATTAAGGAAAACTCAAAACAATAATGAATATTATATCATGATCTGCAATTCACAAAATATTCCTCCTGCATGACTTATCTAATTCTCACAGCAGCCCTGTGAAATAAGTATTATTATTATATTTATTTACAAAACAGATATATGAGATCCAGAGAGTTAAGTGACAGAGTTATATAGCTAATAAGAAACACAGCTGCAACTAACTCTAATACAGGTCTTCTGACTCCAAATCCTGCCTGTTTTCCTCTTTAGTATATTATGTCTGCATAGATGGCTATTAGGTTGAAGTGTTGTTAGTAATGCTAAGATGAAAAAGAAACTAGTGGAGGAAATTTGCTAAAAAATCGTTGGACTTTTGTTTTTATATTTTGTTTCATTTTGATTTTTGGTCAGGGTTGTACAGTGATATTTGGAAAGACCTATGGTCAGTTTTTTATTAAAATATTTAAGTATATTTAGCTACATTTAGGAATCACTAAATGAAGAGTTAGTAAACTTGACCTAAAATTATAAGATAAGGTCATGTATACTTATTCTCATAAATATCATCATAATTTTATGCCAGTTACACATACATAATTCAACATTGCTTTTATGTTTGTGCTTAACAAGGGTCTTACTATGTATCATTACTCAAAATGAAGTGAGGATTTTTATGAATCTCACTGTGGCTTTGCTAGATAATCTCAAATTTGTTCTTGCCTGCATAAGCATGCTGTAGGCAAGCTCATAAAGTGCCCTGTCTTCCTTCTATCAAATAAAAAATAGATAAAAATTAAAAACAAAAAGCCTAAACTTAATATATTTTTTGATTTCCTAGAGAAGATTAAGTAAATTAGAGAACAGTTTAACAATGTTCTACACACAGTGATATGTATTTAAACAAAAGATTCTATGGCATATTCTTAAAACTCTACCTTCACTTGACTTTTTCTTGTAGCTTTCAATGTAAAACCATCATTATCTTATTAGAAATATTGTGCTGATCTGTGAAATTATGCAATGTAGCATCAACTTACCCTTAGCTTACAGATCTCTCTGTCTTTCTCCATTCTTAAGTTTTTTAGCATTTCCATGTAATGGTTGCCAATCTCATCCATTTTAGCCTGTAGCATAGGGCCTGTGCATGTCTCAGAAACCTACCCAAGACAACATAATTTGCTGTAAATGGATTGTTATGAAGGAAATAGGTTTATTACATGAAAATCACATGTTTAAGTGAAAAATTGAAATGAGAGTATTTTTTGGGAATTGCATTATACAACTGAAATGGCAGTGAGATAAGACCTAACTGCACACAAGAACACCAGAAAGCAGTCCATGTATTTTCTCAAAATTAATATATATATATATATGATATACACAATATAATTTTTTATATATATATATATATATATATATATATATATATATATATATATATATATATATATATATATATTTGCCAATGGCAAAATCACAATAGTATAACTAAGGTAATAACATGTATTTAGAACAAAGTTTTAATACCTGAATTCTAAGATTTTTATTCTCTTGTTCTAAATTATGTTTACAGTATTCCAGTTCTTTTAATCGATATTCTATGTCTGATAGTGTATGTCGAAGAGAGAGATTGCTTTCCTCCAATGCTTGGCATTTTGAAGTTGAGTCTTGAAGTCCTTGCTGTAAAAAAGATACAAGTAAATAATACAAATGGTTTCTACTTTGGGGGAAAGAATACTCTTTTAGTTGATTAATTCTATTCAATAAAGCAAATATTTTTTCCATGTCTAGTTTTCTTAAATATTGGTCCTTAAATTGTAAGTTAAATCAGTCATGTAAAATACTAGATTATTTCCCTTGTTCTGACTTACCTGTCTTGAGTGAGAAGGAATCAAGACTAGATGAAGTTTCATTGTACCAATTTAGCAATCTGACACTTGCTACTCTTTGACAATACTATACCTTGCCAACTAGTAGACACCAAAAATAACCATATGCCTAATTATTTATGTGACAAATGGAAGCTGAACAAAAATTTGGGACTGTCATGGGAGTAAAGATTAGGAAAGGATTAGCCTTAAAGACTCATTACAATTTCCTAGGAATCAACTCTGCTCATATATCTGGAAAACACTTCTAGAGTTGACTCTTTCATTTATTCATAGAACAAACACATGTTAAGATCCAATAAAAAAAACACATGTTTTTAATGACATGTTTGTAGATTAAATCAATGAGTGAACTTGGATTTTCCATATTTATTCAGTTCTTGTCACCCACCAGCATAGGTAAATGTAGACTGTATAAACCTTATATATAAAATACGTATGGTTATCTTTTTCTGAGAGCCTTTTTAGTCATTAGAATTAGCCAAATTTATTCAATTTTCATAGGAACAAATTATTCCATCATATTTTAATTGTGTCTGGATTGATCTCATAACTCCAATGTGTCAGTAATTATGCATAGGAAAAGGCTTCAATCTAGTTTATCATCAATAAAAATGTCAATTTACCAGCTGCTGACGATTATTTGCTCTCACGGATGCCAAAAGATCTTCATATTCTTTTATTTGAGTTTCTTTGAAAACCAAGTCTTTTTCAAGTCTTATCTTGTCATTTTCCAGCGACTAAAACAAAATTATGTGTTATGATTCAGAATTACAAAAACTTTCCCAAGTTACATAATGCAAAGACTTATTTACATTGCAGGTTTAAATAAATACTTTTCATTTGTAGGTGCTTAATAAATAGAATTCTTAAAAGTTGAGCAAAATATAGATACAAATTATTGAAACTTTAAAAACCTGCATATTGAAAGAGACAACTTGATGGATTGGATAATTCAAAGTGCAAGGAAACAGAAACTTCTGAATGATTTTAATGTTTTGCCTTAATCAAAGAATTCTTGATAATCCTAGCAGGTTGTGAATTTTCAAAGTAAAGCTTAAATCTTTTCCTCGAAACCCAGGAATAAAAATTTGCACTCCAAAGTCCTCAAGCAGTTATTCATTGTATGAAAAGCATTCTGAATGTATCTAGCTGATGGCACCAAGAACACAAAGTAGAAAAGGCTAAATGCTTGGAAAAAGAAGTTTCCAAGAATTCAAAGAAATTCATAGTATGCTTTATTATTACAGAAAATGGGGAAATTCCCATTCAATGAGTCAGTTTCTTCCGATTTTACAAGCTACTCCCTGGCTTTAAGCAGTAAATTACTTTAGTGGTAAACTATAATAATTAATAAGTGCATTCCCAACTTTCTTCCTTTTTAGGGGGGCAATTCTTTTCTCCTCTCAGGCTCAGTTAAGTTTTTCCAGAAAATAACTACTTTTGGATAAGTATAATGTTGTGTTCTACGAAATTTTTAAAAGGTAGACTGAGTGCCTTGATTTCTAAGTTAGGAAAATAGGAACTAGAAAATTTTTGGAAAGAAAAATCAAAATAAATGTTACTGTCAAGTCATTTTGAAGATGTCCAAGCTCCTCCCGTATGTTGCTGAATGTGGACAGCACTAGCCGGAGTGATTTATCAGACATACCCCTCATCTGGAGGAAGAAAGCAATAATTTATTTTTTCTAGCATTTAAAAATAAGCAATATCAGTGACAGTGATCCTAGTTTTCTTATAAGCAAACTTATTAACAGTTTTATTTTTGATATGGCAATATTGTTAATAACATGCATAAATAATTCAAGCAAGTCTCCTGAAGCAATCATAGCTATCTAATTAGAACAGGGTCTATTATTTTTTTTCCATGATGAAGTATCACTCTTTTCACAAGACAGAAATCTATCAGAAAATTCTCAAATTTACTTTTATTCTTTATTTAAAGATTAGAAAAGATTTGGCAAGTCAACCTTCAAATAATAGAGTAGTTAAGGCCTGGGAGGGGTTGGTGTGGGGTGGAGGAGGTAGAGGGGGTTAGTTGGAAAAACAAACAAATAGGACATCTGTAATACTTTCAACAATAAATAAAAAATAAATAGAATAAAACTTGATACCAAGACTATAACTATCTTCTAGAAAATAAAAAAAAAACCCTACTCATTTCATTTTATGAAGCTAAGTTTTATTATTATCCTGACGACAAAACTAAAGATAATACAGAAAAGGAAAAGTATAGACCAATGTTTCTCATAATTTAAATGCAAAAATTTACAGAATTGGTTTAGTTTGTTTTATTTTTTCAGAAATAAATCATGAATGCACTTTAGATGAGCATCCCACCTCAGGTTCTGCAGAGCATATGCGTTCCCCATACCACCGTCTATTATATAGAATGTGTACCACTGAAAATAGTGTTTCATTGAATTTTTACAAATATAAGACCAGGTCCAAAATTTGGATAAACAAAAGTTTGAGAACAACTATCAAATTTAGATATTGTCTTCAGAACTCTTTTTTTTTTTTTTTTGTAAATACATGTATTCTTTTTAGTCATAGTCCCACAGCGCCTATCTTGGTCTATCTAATTTAAGAAAAATGGCACTTGCAGGAATATGGTGGGGAAGAGTAGAAAGCAGAATGGAGAAGAGGAAGGCAACAGATCTAAGTCAGGTTTTGCTACAGCAGTGAGGAGAGACTAAAGGCATTCCACATTGAGGATTAATACAGGATGGGGCAAAAGTAAGTTTACAGTTGTTCAAATGGAAAATAATACAGTAATAAATAAATAATAATATAAGAATAAGCTCTGTGCTTTATATACTCACAACTGTAAACCTACTTTTGCTCCACCCTGTATTTCTTAAATGCTTTCCTATATGTTAGTTATATTCTATTCGTATTTGTGATCTGACCAAACTATAACATAATCCTTTTAAAATCAAAATACAGTATAATCAATTCTTGTGAGAAAGGATTTTTATTTGAAAATTTCTGTTATTAATTAAGGGAACCATTCTAATCAAAGGTTTTTTAGTGTTGTTCTCACACCCCCTTTTGACACCATCTCACCTGCAAAATGTAGCGAATTTGCTGTTTTGTAAACTCTGACAATCCATTAGGAATCAAGGATTCAATGTCTTCTGACTGTAAGAAAAGAGAATCTTATCCATTGAACAGTTACATATTATTATTTTAATTTTAGGGTCAGCAGTCCACAAACTTGTGCATTGGGCTTATTTTTAGGGACATCAAAAACTTACTTCACTTTTCATGTAATAGTTGCTACAAATTTCATTTCTAGCCTTATCAGTTCTTACTTTTAAAAAATAGCCCTAGCCAGTTTTGCTCAGTGGATAGAGCATCAGCCTGCAGACTGAAGGGTCCCGGGCTCAATTTCAGTCAAAGGCACATGTCAGGGTTGTGGGCTCCATCCCCAGCACAGAGGTGTGGGGGTGAGGAGGCAGCCAAGCAATGATTCTCTCTCATTATTGATGTATATATCGCTCCCTCTCCCTTCCTCTCTGATATCAATAAAAATATTTTTTAAAAATAGATTATTCTACATACACACGATGGGAATAATCCTCAATTTCAGGCACTTTAGGGAAAAGCTTTGAGCAACCAAACGGTCCATTTTTAGTTTTTCAAAAGAGCAATTTAAAAACAAGATGATGGCCCTAGTCTTGGTTGGAGCATTGTTCTTTTTGGGTTTGATCTCTGGTTGGGGCACATATGGGACACAATCCATCTATGTTTCTCTTTTCTCTCGCTCTTACTCTCGCTCTCCCTCTTCCTCTCTCTCTAAAATCAGTAGAAAAATATCCTAGGGTGAGGGTTTAAAAAATAAAAACAATTTAAAAATCAGAATAAGAGGATGGTTTCTTAAATCCCATTAAACACTTTACTTCAGTGTATCTCTCTAAAACATTCTGGAAGTATTGTTGTGTGTTAGATATGGCATTTTAGAGGGTAATTTTAAACAATGAAAATTTGGAAAAATAAAATAATATTAAGGGTTTATGAAAATTTACACAGAGCTGTGGTGATGTTTGAAAGATGATGTTGCCACAGCAACACTGAGAATCTTCAGCTAATTTTAAGTGAGAGGCTGTATTAAAGTCAGTATTTTTAAAGGCAATTTAAAACTAACTGAAAAAAAAAGAAATAAATACAGTATATCAATAAATTGGAAACAAAGATAAAAATTAGCACAAAGGAAGTCATTGTGCTTTGTTATATTGAAATCTATTCTTTTTCTATTTTATGATTTATTCCATTAAAAGTAACTATTAACAAAATGTGCATATATAATAAAAGTAATATTTGAAAAAATTCTTTGAACATACAAGGTTTCAAAGTACATTAAAACTGAATTTGCTATTTGCTTAATATAGATTTTAGTTTTATAAAGCAGAGAATATGTGGTCAATTAAATTTTAAATATCCTGATAAACAAAGACAAATTAAATCATAAAGTGACAGTTGATAAAACATTTTTGTGTGAATTATTTAAGATTATTGCTTTGACAGCCATTACAAAGATATAAATGCCTATATCATGTTGAAAGCAAAATGATCATTATTTCTTGTTCCATATTTGATGTTTAACGCTCTTTACACTTACCTCATCTGTGGACTCAAAGTCTTGTTTGCTGCAAGAATTAAAAAAAGATGGACAACCTTAGAGAAATATATACACTGATCATAAATAAATGCTAATGTTTTAATCACTTTATCTCACTTTTCAATATATCATAATAGTACTAATTCAATTTATAGTCCAAATAAATTTTTTTAAAAAAATAACTGAAATGTCACTCCACAAATGTAAAGATAATTTTCTTGTAACTAGCTAATCTGTTAAAAATAAATAATACCCTAATAACAATCTGATAGAATATGCAGAATTGGTTACTACCATCATTAACACCAGTCTGTTTGAGTCTGGATGTCAAGGTCCTTAGTGCTTGGCAATAAATACTGCCTGAATGAATAAATATTTATAATAGTTGTCCTCTATTTAAACCTCCCCCTTCTCTTTGTATTGCTCCTTTTCAATGCTGATTCCAGTGATTTCAAGTTTTATCAAAATTCAGACTTGCAAAACAGGATTGAAAAATTCATTCAATATACACTACAGTATAAATGGCAGAGACAAAGTTTAGAGGGTATTTGAATATTTTCATAGACCTTAAGCAACATGACCAACATTTTATAATTAAAATTATTACATTTTAATATATTAAAATTAAAATTTTATATTACAATTATTCACATTAACTTATAAGTAATATATTGCTAATTGAAATAAATGGATCACTCACTGGGCAAAACCTCTTGCATGCATTTAGAAAAGTATGCAAGCTAATGTGGAGAAGAAATGAAGATTCCATTTCCCAAGACATGACTGCATATGTGCAATCATATGCATGTATGTATATATGTATGCATGCATGTGGTATTTCCTTTGTTGCCCTCCAAAATAGAGGGAGGCCATAGCCAAACAAAATGAAGTATCTCCTACTTATTTAATGTTTTACTAAAATAATCACATGCATATATTGGAAGGTAAAACAAGTTAAAATATGAATCACATGAGGTTTTAGTAGTCTTGCACTACTGATAAATGGAATCATCACTTTATTAAAATTGCAATTCCAATGCTGAACTAGTACACAGGTCTCTAGTCCCTTACTTTTTTCTACAAATAAGGGAATAATACAAAGAAATAAAGCAAGAAGCACTGGACTATTAAACAGTAACCAGAATGGTTTCATGAGACAGCTTTCTTTAATTTCCACCCTGGAGCCCACTCCTTGCTGAATTGTAATTTGGAAAGAAAAGTGGAGACAGAAGTGGGGGGAGGGAGAAAGGAAAAAGAGCAGAGCAGGGAGGTGGAAAGGTCACTGTGGATTACATCTCTATTCAGCACTGGGAGCTTGTGTCTAGAATTACACTGGGGGGAAATAGAGTGGCACTCACTTCATACCATCTCATTTCCTACGTAGAAAGAAATGTAACATGGAAAAAGAAACAAAAAAAGAGAAAGAAAGGAAGAGGGAAAGAACGAAGAGAAAGAAACTGACAACCTTATGACAAACAGAAACATATAAACACCTCTCCATCCTGGGGTGTTTATTAATGTTGCAGATGCTAGCTTTCAATTTCGTTTTTGTTCTTTTTAGCTTCTCTAGGAATTAAATTCAAAGTTTTGCCATCATTAATTATACATTTAAGTCATCCACATATATTTATCAAAACTCTACATGACAGAAAGTTCTTTAAAGACCTCAGATTAAAATTTACCTGGATGATGATTATGAAATAATTGAACTTTCATTGTCTAGTTACTTCTTCTACTTCTATTTAGTATGAGACTAATATTGAACTCTAATTCTGTAAATCTTTATTTAGTAGAGACTTTGTCAAGGCCACATGCTCTGAACTCTTGGGTCAATACAAAACACAAATATTATCTTGTACTTTATACAAACATAATTGTTTTGAGGCAAGATTTGCACAACATAACATTGGTCTAAATTCTGTGACCTTTGAAATTTTTATGATTCAAATTTTTTATAATTTCTTAAAATTGTCAGCAATATTTTAAACATTTTGGAATACACGTTTGGTATTGAAAAGTTAAGTGATATGCCAACAGAGAAAGGCTCTCAGAATATAGATACTAGTCCCAGATTTTGCCACTTTTGTAGCTCTAGGTCAGCGATTTTCAATCTTTTTAATCTCATTGCACACATAAACTACTTACTAAAATTCTGTGGCACACCAAAAATACATATTCTATGTCCTGCCATTCTGACAAAAATATAGGTATAATTTTGATTCATTCACACTAGATGGCTACTGTTGTGTTAGTTGTGTTCATTTTTAATAATTTTCTTCTTTATTGATTAAGGTATTACATATGTGTTTATTTGACAGTTTAAGGGAAAGAGGTCAGTGCTCCTGACTAAACAGTCAGGTATAGCACGTTTTGAAAATTCTTGCAGCATACTGGTTGAAAATGCTGCCCCAGGCCAAATGCTTCTCAAACTTGAGAATGTATCCGAATCCTCTGGGGTGCTTGTTGCTGGGCATTACCCTCAGAGTTTCTCATTCTGAAGGTTTGTTTCCAAGCTCTCACATGATGCTGATGCTGCTTGTAAGTATATGTCTTTTATCATTTATTGCTTCTAAGAAATCTATGAGGTAAGAATTATTTATTATAACTCCTATTTTACCAATGAAGAAACCAAGAAACAGAGAGAAACGAAATCATCTCATGAATCAAGCAGCAATTTTTTTTTTGCACTGGGGTATACATTTTTCAATATGGGATGGATTTAAAGTAAAGCTATATTGTGATAACATTTTAAATTTCATTTCATACAAGTCAAAGTGATGTAATAAATGCAAAACTTGGATAATTTATATAAAAATTCTAAACATATTACCTTTTATTACACATCTAATATGTAACAAAAACTGGGATGTGAGTTCAACCTATGAACTCTGGATCTAGAATCAGGGTACTTAAGATTATGTCTCTATATGCTCTTGATTTTATAATGTGATGCTTTGATACAAACATTCACAGGACATTATTAATATACAGAAGAGGAGCACCAAAACCAAAATGAATATCTAAGGAAGACTGTAGAAAAGCTAAGTCATAATTTATAGCTAAAGAGTAGTCAAAATGTTTTAATTCATCTCAAGCACTTACAAGGTATGTGACTTACAAGGTTAAGTCAGAAACTTTCTCTCTTTGAGTCTTCATTTGAAACTTTTTAGGGTAACTGTGTCAATTAGATAATATTTAAAAAGCACAGAGTGTAGTACATACTATACAATAAGTAGTTAACTACTCAGAGTGAGGGGGGAGGTTTTAAGGTATGTGATATCCAAATGGATGAATCTGTGAAACAGTATTTTGGGTAATCAAAGAAGGTGCTGATTCATATAAACAGTAATGAACGCATAGCTTTGAAGATGGGAATCATGTGCTAGCAGTAGGATTGGATCTTGTACCATCAATGTAATATCTTAAAATAAGTTATCATTCATCATGCATTTTTTTGAGCTGCTTGCCCAAGAGGCTGCATTTGCAATCAAAATACATTACAAAAGGACATATATAGAATTTTTTACTGATCCTAGAAGGGCTTATGTAATCTCTCTGCTGATTTTCATAAAGTACATTAACTCTTAAAATGAAACATTTGCTATATCTACATATATAATTGTGCTGTTTCTCCATTAAAAGTACTAGAGTTTTGCTGTGGACCTAAAAAGACTCTAAAATAGTCTGTTAAAAATCCTAGAGTATTATAAATGTTTGATTAGGTACACTATCAAGGCAAATAATATATTAAGCATACCTTCCTCCAATTCTCTGCAAATGTTCTAACAGGCAGTGATATAGATCTGCATTTTTGCGGTTTAGATCAGCAAGTAACTCTCCAAAATATTTGGGATCCAATTTTTCAGGGCCATCATCCTGAATTATCACCTGAAGAAAACATCAACCTCAATTATAAACATCATTAAACATTTTTAAATTCACAGATATTTTTATATGAAATGAAAAACATGAAATAACTATTAATACAAGTAACTAATGACTAAGTCATCTCATGAATCAAGCCACAATTTTTTTTGCACATTTTAAATTTCATTTCATACAAGTCTAAGTAATCTAATAAATGCAAAACTTGGATAATTTATATAAAAATTCTGGAATATAGATGCTTAAGTAAAACAGTAAAACAAGTAAATGAAAATCTCTGAATTGCACATTATCACCACATGGCTTACCCATCTGTCCCATTTTGGAAAAGAAAATGTGAATTCTTTGAATTATACTGACTATAGGAGAATTAATTTAATTTGGAATTGCATCTTCTCAGTGAAAGTTTGATTTATTAGTATATCTTAAAGTTAGATTAAATAAGCCTTCACAATGTAATGTGCTTTTATGTATTTCTTATTGGAGTCCCTCCATATTACTTGGATTGAATATCCAATCACTTTGACATTGGAAAGAGTAACATAAGGCCAAATGTAGAAAATTCTTGGACCCAGGACACTTTTGAAATCCTAAACACAAAATACTCTGAGTATTATCCTAAATAAGATCTATTTTAATAACTTTATGTCCTTTAGTCCCAATCTTTTCTACATTTTTATCCACCTTGCCTCTGATCTCCAAAACAACATTACTTGAATGTTAATAACTTAGGCTGCATTTCAAACTATCTTTTATATTGCATGTGGGATCAAAGGTGCCCTATAAACACATATATTCCTAAGTATATGTATGATAAATATACTTCAAATTTGACCAATGATATTTTCTTTTCAGCCCATCCTCTGGATGCAGACTCTAAAAAATCATGCATTCTAAGGCAAATGGAAATATTGCAAAATAAACAAAGTTGAGCATTAATAATTATGTCTGTGATATTATGATCCATTTATAAATTAAAGATAAATTGTAAAAAGCCATACTCAATATACAGTATAGTATGATCATGTTTTTATTAAGGTACATTTTTTACATTTTCAACAGTCTGAATGGATACATTACAATGTTATCTTGTCCATATACCCTTTCAAGTTACTTTCTTAGAGAAGTAATGATTGTTTCCTAAACAGAGTAGTCTTCATTACACAGTATATTAAAAGTCATAGATCCGATCCAAAACTGAAATATCATGGCTGACATGTACACATAAGGAAGTGTTTAACATTGAAATTGTGTCTCAAAAGAACTGGTGGCCCAGAAAGAAGCTCACTAAAGACTAATTCATATGCCTTTTTGCATAAGGATTATTGCTTGTCTCATTTTTTATTCTTATATTTCCAGTAGGACATGATCTCACTCATCTAGAGGAAATGGTGAACAACATAGACTGAAGGACAAGAACAGACCCAGAGATAAGGAGCCATGGGTCAGACTGTTGGACCTCAAAGGGAGGGTGGGGATAAAGGGAGAGATCAACCAAAGGACTTGTGTACATACATATGAGCCTAACCAGTGGTCAAGGACAATAGGGAGGGGGGCATGATGGGTTGGAATGGGGGATTGAGGACTAATATGTGATACCTTAATCAATAAAGAAATTAATTTAAAAAAGAAATATGTGCATACCACATTTCTACTCTTCTGCCTAAAGAATGAGACCTATTTTGAATGTCAATTTTGGATAAAAGGTTTAACTTTTTATATATAAACAGGAAAGAGATACAAGCTGTATTGAAGAATAGTTGTTTCCAGATATGCAAATTGTGATATTTCTCAAAACATTACAAAAAAATGAAAGACTATTGAATTAGATAATTATTTGACTATAATAATGGCCAAGCAATCCAACATCTTGTCTCTGATTGTAGGTTTAAAAAAAAATCAAAAAACTTTGATAAGAATTGCTACCACAAACCTAAGGCAAGGCAACAATGTTTAGGTATAAACGCAGAGATAAATTAGTGATCATTTCTCAGATAATTGGTAGAAAGGAAGTATACTTTGTAAAGAGAAAACTTGGGCTTGACCTCACTATTGCCTTGGAAGTTTTTGACTTGGTTCCAGTTTGGGGTTTTGTTTTTTATTTGTGGTCTATGATATTCCAGGAGTGGAATTTCTTGTTATCATCTACTTTATAGTAACTTTAATATTTAAAGATGATACTTTTGACCAACCATATTTGCAAAGTTTAATGGTAGTGATAATAGAGGCCTGCAGATAGTAGGTACAGAATAGTTACAGATTTTGGATGAGCTATCTAAAGATTCTTGCCTGCTCCTTCCTCTCAAACTTAATGGCACACATTTGTGAGAAATGTTGCTCAGGACTAAAGATAGTTTGTAAGCAAGATACAGTCACAACCCAGTAGTATAGGGTGTTGGCTTAATTAAATTTATTACCATTACGTAACTGGCTTAAGTGTGTGCATTTTTCACCTATTTAGAAGGGTTGCTTAGCAGATTATAAAGTGCTTAAAATGCCATGTTACAGAAAAGGTATCATACATAAATGCCTACTCTTTTTAAAGGTCATGGACATGTTAAGTAGTAAAGTTTGTTCTGCTTAGACCTTAGTGGGTAGTAACTTTTGTTACATAAAAACAAAAAAAAATCAGTATTAATAAAAGATTTACAATGTATAGTTTATTATCCCCCCAAAGCTCATAATGATATGGTAGCATTTTATTTTATTTACTTTTAAATTTATCTTTATTGTTGAAAGTATTATAGGTGTCCCTTTTTCCCCACTGAACCTCTCCACCCTGCACCAACCATTCCCAGGCTTTCACCACACTGTGCTATGAAAACATTTATTTATTTATTTATTTATTTATTTATTTATTTATTTATTTATTTAATATATTTTATTGATTTTTTACAGAGAGGGAGAGAGATAGAGATCCAGAAACATTGATGAGAGAACATCGATCAGTCACCTCCTGCACACCCCTTACTGGAGATGTGCCTGCAACCAAGGTACATGCTCTTGACTGAAATCAAACCCGGGACCCTTTAGTCTGCAGGCCGACGCTCTATCTACTGAGCCAAACCGGCCTTGGCTATGATAACATTTTAGATAAATAAAGTTATTGCTTCATTTATTTTGCTTAGATTTGGGACAGTTAATAACTGTTAGACTGATTGAGATCACGGTTAATTGAGTAGACATTAATCCCTGTGAAATTAAATACATTTTAGGTACAATGTCATTTGGCTAATAGGGTAAAAAAAAAAAATAGTGTCCTATTTTGTACCACAAGAATAAATCTTGGCTAGAGAAAATGTCAGAATTTTGGGTTCTGAAAATTTTCACTGCTATTTTAATATCTATAGACATTTCAATAAAACTATGTTGCATTATACAGTACATGGTACATAGATTTTCAACAAATGTTGTCACTGAATTGAATGTACTGTATAACAATGACAATTCTAAAATTAATTCTTTACTCCTAACAACAGCTCTGTACTTGAAATAAAACCCTAATTTAATTTTCTATATGAGTGAACCTAGGCAGCAAAGTGTTTAAGTGATTAAAAGAATGGAAATTGGAGCTGAAAGTGGAGTTCCCACTTCCTACTTTTAGATTAAGTATATTGCTTAAACTTTCTGAACTTCAGTTATCTCAACTAGAAAATGCAGGTAACTTAATACATACTATATTTTTCTTTTGGTAAAATGTTAAACCATAATATAAATAGTGGTCTTATTTAAGGCATATGGACAATTTTTTATTGGAATAATGATAGAAGAATATTTAAAAGATTGGTATCAGTCTATGAGGGCTAAAGATGTATTAGGGGGAAAAAATGAAGGTAATGAAGAACCATGAGGACAGAGTGTGGGAAATACCACTAATATGAGTGGTGAAGTTCTCATAGATAATTCCAGTCAGGGGTCACCAGGAAATGGAGAAAATTGTAAGCTTGCCAATGAAACTATGAAAAGATGGGGAGACTGGCTAGAAGGTTAGTAGATAGTGGTAATACAAGTCAAGAAGGCTCATGTATATGGATTGCAGGGTTTTAAACAGAGGAGATAATTAATCAACAAAAACCAGAACACTTAACTGTATAAAATTACATTGAGAAAATATTTAGCAGAAATACATAGAAAACCAAACAAATAAAAAAATAAAAGGACCACAAATTGGTTCAGCAACAAACAATACTTTCATGTCAATAATAAAAACCACGGAATATTGATTTAGATAAAAATTGGGATTTATAGAACTAAATTCTATGTATCAGAATTATTAAGAGATAACATACAATATCAACAAATCAAAAAATAGCAGCATAAGTGTATGCATACTATTTAGGTGTATGGAGGTAAATACCAGAAGAAAAAGCTAAGAGTTGAAAATTACTGCCTCTGGGAGATCAAGTATGCATGAAGAAGATTGTAAATTGCTGTTTCTTATATATATTTTACTATTTGACCTTTTAAGCATTACAGGCATTACTCTAATTTAAAAAATAAAAACTATTTCAAAGAACTAGTGAATAGCAATTCTTGTTTGCTATAAAACAAGAGTTCAAAGGAACGCAGAGCAGGAAGTAGGGGGAGACAGATAAGGGTGGTATTTGGAAAAGATGGGCTTAACACAGATAAGAATTAAATTTTTTTAAACAGCCCTAACCGGTTTTGCTCAGTGGCTAGAACATTGGCCTGTGGACTCAGGGGTCCCAGGTTCAATTCTGAAAAAGAGCATGTAACTTGGTCACGGGCACGTACCCAGTAGGGAGTGTGCAGGAGATAGCTGATTGATGTTTCTCTCTCATCGATGTTTCTAATTCTCTCTCCCTTTCTTTCTGTAAAGAATTAATAAAATATATTTAAAAAAATTTTGATACAATAGGAGGGGACAGAGGTCTGGACAAAAGACATTTATTTTTCAATGGTGAAGAAGGCAATTAATATGGAGAGGGATATGAGTCATATGTTAATAAGTAAGGAAGCTGCTAAGTTTATAGAACTAAACAGCCCACAGATTCCATCATTAGTGTAGGTCTTTTGTTAAATAAGCATTGTGGAAAGCTGCCTGGATATTTTCCAGAAAAACAAACAAACACCTGACACTAAGATCTATATTGTCTTGATATTGACAAAAATTGAATTTTCAGATGAAAAGCATCCAAGTTGGAGTATTTTCCTTTGGCAATAGCACTATCCAAGTAATCAGGACTGTTCTTTTTGTATCTTTCCATGACTCTTAAAGGTTTCTTGGAAGCCTTGAGCCAAGTCGAAAAGAGTTGCACATATGAAATACATAATTATTTGAGTCTTCCTAATAACCACCACCTGTATGACAACTTGTAAAATGAGTTTAGCTGAGTTTTCCCCTGTCACTAACATATGTGAAATTATTTATTTCTTGCTAATGGCAGGGAAATGATCAGTGTGTTATTCTTAATGTCCCCAGGAAAGAAATGTGATCAGTGATGTTCTGAATTTGAAACCAAAATGATGATGTTTCTAGGAAAATCCATGGAAAACATACATAGATTAGTTTTCTAAAAAATATTTTGAAACCAGGTTTTTGCACATCTTATTTTCAAAAATATTTTAATATATTTTGCTTTGTGGAAATCACTTTAGTTTTATTTTAAAATATCATTACAATGAGAAAATATAAATATAATCTCATATTTATTCTTGGAAAGATTTGTGGCATAGGGTTTGGGAAGGGAGAAGATAGAAAATTGGACATTCATTTGAGTACCTACTTTGTGCTTGACACTAAGCCAGGTACTTTAGATATTTTATCTCATTGAACTATATTATAGATATACTACACATTAAGTATGATTCTCCTTCTTTTATAGATGGGGAAACTAAGGTTCAGTTTAGTTAAGTCAGTTACTTCAGTCCAGTTAAATCGAACACCTAAGATCACACAGCACATGCTTTTGTAACCCCAAATAATTGAATTTAAGTCTATATTTTTTCCACTTTATTATGCTACCTCCAATAACAATTGAACTCTAAACACAAATGAAAAATGGGCCAACCTTTAGTTTTAAAAGAGCCTAACTTACTTCTGCTCTATTAATCCTTAAAGAGACTCTTCTGCCATGTTGAAGAGACATATAAACACCAAGGAACCTAGGTGAGACAACTTAATCCCCGTCATCCCTTGTCCATGGGATCTGCACAGCTAGGTTTCTCTTCACTCTGACCAAAAAATGGGTCCAATCCTATGTAACCTCATATAAGTAGAATTACCACATCTAAGATTCCCAGGGTTAATTTCAGCAGCACTTCAAATTTATCATCAGAAGCTATTGAAAAACTAGGAAAATGTTATCTCTACAAAAAAGCCACCAGCATTTGACAAATCTCAAACTTAAGCATGAATAATAAAATAGAAAGTAATATATTAGTTACCCAACTCTACCCATTTTTTAAAATAGACAAAATCTGGTCTCGTCAAATATATTATTAGTTGTAATGAGCTAATGAAAGAATATAGCATCACCATTGCCACTAGTCAGGATTCTTAATCCTAGTATATTATTCCCGTCTCTGATAATTGCCCTTCACTCCCTTCCTTCTGTCAGGACATCTTCATCTGATCACTGTGAGAATAAAATAATCAGTATGCTAATCTGTCTTGTACAAAGTTGCTAGGATTAACCTCCTAAAGCACATGTATCAGTATTTTCCTACATAATAACCTTCACTCACTCTGCACTGCCTACCAAATAAAGTTCAACATTTTAAACTTAACATTTGAGCCTCATCATCTAGTACTCCTCATTCTGTCTTCCTTTCCATACAAACCAAACCACTAACTGAAAACGGATTCCTGAAGCCCAAAATATAAATTCCCAAACATAAACCTTTTTCATGTAATTCCCTCTTTCAATGTCAACTCTATGCCACACCATAATACCACATATAAAAAATTGGTTCACTCTTCAAAGCCCAGTTCAATTTCTGCCTCTGCAACAAAGCTTTCCTTGACCTTCTAACTGAAATTAATTTTTTCTTTCTTCTGTTCTCAAAGCACATTGCTTGATCCTTTTTATGAAAGAAGACACTTAGTTTTGTGTTGTTTTAAGTTTGCAATTCCCTATTAGATAGTAAACACCTATAAGAAATGTGATAATGTTTTACCCACTTTAGTATTTTTCATAGTACTTGGCATGAAGATTTAATGTTTACAAATAATAATTGCTACTAAAAACTAAGAACTACTGTTTTAAGTACTTACCAATGGCACTCAACTATGGTAAGTGCTTAAACCTTTTAACCGAGCGGGACCTATAAATACATCAAATGTAAACAATATAGGGAATGGGTAGGACATATGAATACGTCCTTGAAATATATGTTGCGCCCTGAGAGGGACGGTATATATTTTTTGTAATCTTTATAATTGTTTGTAAAATTTATAATTTTTTAATTCGATGTTTCCATTTTTTTGTTGGTATTCTTTTCTATTTGTTTGTAATTTTGTATTTTCCTTTGTGCTTTATATATAAATAAATGAATATATATATATTTCGTTTAATTAAGTATAAATAAAAAATAATAATATGAAATTACGTCCTCTGGACGTGACATACTGACACGTCCTAGTGAAAGAGTACGCGCCTGTTACAGGTTGCATAATTAAAAAGGGAATTCCCCGGTTAACAGGTTAACATACAAAATATAATTTATTCTTAGAATAGCCTGTAAGAAATGGATGATGTAAAATCTTTATTTTAAAATGAAGAAACTGAAGCAAATTATAAGATTTAACTATTTCAGGTGACTTAATCTAATAAAATGGTTCAGAGAGAATATAATTCTAGGCCTTTATAGATTGAAAAAAAGTGGATTTTTAAATTAATTGTGGTTCTTTTTGACAAATACAGATATTTCAAATTCACAGCCCTTAGAAGTAATATCATGTATATTTAATGAAAAACGATCAAATTCTTATGTGCACAGGTTCCTTTATTTTTTCTTACTTATTTCCTTTTGTCTTTTACTAAGAATTGCCTGTGAAAGGGTCAATTTGAGCAAGTTATTCTTTACTAGAAAAAAGACTTGAAAAGTACAAATGATGTTCTTTATTGTTCCAGTTGTTATTGTTAACTTTATCAAGATACAAGAAAATATTTTTTCCTTTAGGGAAAATTTTATTGAATTATATTTTTTATTTGATCAGGTGGCTGTGACCATCCAAATGCTTTTTCCTTTCACACTTGCATAACAGATGTTTACAAGATTCCAAAGTTTTCAGAACATAAATTAGTCACTGACAATTATATTCCAAGAGATTAATGCTTAGCAACTAAATTTTAGTTTCTATTTTGTTTATGTAATATGCAATAAAATGTATACATTCTAACTTGACTTAATATCCCATATTTTATTTTTATAAAATTCTTTATTGATTAAGGTGTTGCATATTTGTCTTTATTCCCCCATTACCCCCAATCCCCCTCACCCCCCTGTTGCCTGTGTCCATTAATATACCATATTTTCAAAGAAGACATATAGGAAGTAATTACCAGCCTATGAAATGAAACCCTTATAATAATCTTCAATAATATCAGTTGCAAATTACTCTTTATTTAAGTAACATATCTCATGAAGAGCATTTCATGTTTAAAAATATTTAATGTTTTACAACCATTAGGCTCATTTAGACCTGAGGATCAGCTATGAATCAGGAGCTTATTAATCAATTCATGGCTTCTTTCATAGATTTTATTCATTAATAGATCTGAAATATTTTCCCTTCTGAGAGGAAAAGAAAATTTAGTTTTAAAAATACTGTAACAAAATACAAATACTAGTTGCATAATTGTTCAATATTTTGATGAACATTTAATATGGGTACTTGTACAGAGTGAGAAGTGTTTAAGGGTATTATTCAAATTTTGTAAGGTATCAGTTAATTAACCTTACCTGTTCATGTGTATGGCTTGATTCACCATGGCAAAGGTCACTTCCAATGCTTGTAGATACTGAGTCACCTCCTGTGATAGTTTGGATTTGCTGGCTAGAATGGGATTGTTGACAGTGCGGAGAGTGGATGATCTGGGGCTGTTGGACAATGTGATGATGGCACTGAACTTGAGGATAGAATTCCTAAAACACATACGTAAACCAAAAAGAGTTATTGAGAATAAAAATTATTGATTAAGAAAAACACAACTGAAATTATTTTAAAATTTTAATGTGTTCTTTCATAAGTTATTTGAAGCCCTAAGATTTGTAGCTTTCCTAAGTGATTTTTTTTCTGTTTCTTTTCTTTTCTGTTTTAAATTTTATTGAATTTATTGCAGTAACATTGGTTAATACAATTATATAGGGTTTAGGTATACAATTCTATAATACATCATCTGTATATTTTATTGTGTGTTCACCATCCCAAGTCAAGTCTCTTCTGTTGCCTCTTATCCCTCCATTACTCCCTTCAATTTCCCCCACCCCTTTCTCTCTGGCAATCACCATACTGCTGTCTGTGTCTATGAGGTTGTTTGTTGTTTGTTTTTGGTTTTTTGTTACATAATCCCTTCACCCTTTTCACTCAGTTCCCCAACACTCCTTCCCTCTGTGCCTATGGGGAAAATTTTATTGAATTGTATTTTTATTGGATCAGATGGCTGTGATTATCCAAATACTTACTTAAATTGGTCAGGGACTTGCATGTTCTGATTAAATTAATATTACACTAATAGTTATAACTAAAACTATAATGAATATTAATATTAAATCCTCTTTTTAAAAAAATATATTTTATTGATTTTACAGAGAGGAATTGAGAGGGATAGAGAGTTAGAAACGTCGATGATAGAGAAACATTGACCAGCTGCCTCTTGCACACCCCCCACTGGGGGTGTGCCCGCAACCAAGGTACATGCTCTTGACCCGAATTGAACCTGGGACCCTTCAGTCCACAGGCCGACGCTCTGTCCACTGAGCCAAACCGGTCTCAGCATTAAATCCTCTTTTTAAAATTTCTTTACTGATTGTGGTATTACATATGTGTCCTTATTCCACCATTACCTCTCAAATCCCCATTCATATGCTTACCCCCCTGTTGTGTGTGTCTATTGATTGGGCTTATGTGCATACATATAAGTCCTTTGGTTTATCTCTCCCCCTTACCTCCACCCTCCCCTACCTTCCCTGAGGTTCTAATCGATGTTTCTCTGCCTGTTAAATCCTCTTTTTTAATGATTCAACAGATACTTCAGCACCTAATTACCTAATAACACTATAGTTCTGAAGCTGTAGATGGATTATAAAATTAGAAAATAATTTAATGTAGTGGTTTTCAATGTTAGAAATTACAGTGGGGGTGGAGAAAGTTCTTATACTTCTGAAAATGAGTATGAATTAAGAAAAATATTCAAAACAGTGACTGAAAATTAAGATCCAGAAAATATGGATTCTAACTTTTTCACTGTGTGACCTTTGAAAGCTATATATGCAATCTTTATTAGCCTCAGTTTCCTCCTCTGTAAAAGTGGAAACAATATGTGTCACATTGGGTTGCTATGAAGAATAAATGAACTAATGGATGATTACCTTAAAATTACTACAACTAATCAGTGGCAGAATTAAGACTGGAATTCATGATTTCTATATCAGAGTTCTTTCAGAACATTAAGTTAAATTTTTACTATCCTTAAAATATTCTGGAGAGAGAAACCTAGATGGCAGCATAGATAAACATAGATAAAATGCTGCCTCACACAACAGTTTCAAAAATACAACTAAAAGACAAAACATCTATCACCCAGAACCATGGGAAAGCTGGCTGAGTGGAAGTTCTACAACTAGAAGGAAAGAGGAAAGAGCATTGAGACATGCACAAGTGCTGAAAAGCTGAGGTACAGAGGTGCGCGGATCAGGCTGATGGTGGGCGATTGGCTGTGCTGCTTTTTTTCAACCCAAAGAGAGACAAGCTCCTGATTACTCTAAAATCCAGTTTCTGGGGAGACGTGGGGACCCAAACTCCTATGGGAGAAGCTGGACTGTTGGCCATCAGATCGGAAAGTGAGGGTGACTTTCTTGTAGAGGTGCGCCCAGCACATATTGCTTACTGCACTGGGGCACGGAATGCAGGGACTTGGAAACACGGAAATGGAGAGAAGGCTGATTGGCAGCCATTGCTGTTTGCTACACCCTAGCTTAGTGACTCCCTGAGACGCCACCCCACACAATCTACAAACCCACCCAAGCTCCATGCAGTGACTTTTGCATGTAAATGGTCTTCCCTATCACAGCTTAACCAAACAAACTGCAGCTCTGGTCAGACAGCTCCAAAACCTCCAAACCCCAAGCAAAGAGGAGAAAACTGTAGTTCTCACTGTAGCTCCTGCTGGGTGACCTCAGATAGTAGCTGACCTGCACCCCATGGGAGATCCAGAAGCTAATGTATCTAGTGCTCTGTGTGAGACAACACCAGATTTCAACTACTATCATAGGGGACACATTCAAGAGGCAGACTCAGTGAGCACCAAAGCCCCACTGAAACAAGTCCTGCCCCATAAGCATGTCTCCAGCACAGCAATTCTTCCATTGTAGACACAGTGGGTCCTCACAGCCAATTGGCCTGGAGGTCAATTCCTCCCAGTGAGACCAACAACAATCAAGACTTAACTATAACAAGGCTGTACACGCAGTCCACAAAGGAGGTGCACCAAGAGTGCCCACCTCAGGTAACTGGAAGGTTGACCCATTGGACCATATAGGACACCTAGCACACAAAGCCACCTAAGTCAGGGAAGCAGCAAAAATGAGGAGACAAAGAAACAGATCACAAATAAAAGAAATGGAGGAAAACAATAACTGGATATAGAGTTAAAAATCACAGTTATAAGGCTTTTCAAGAATTTTCTTAAAAAGGCTGATAAATTTAATGAGACACTCGAGGATATGAAAAAGGACTTATTAAAAATTAAACATACACTGACTGAAATTAAAAACATAACAAAACATTATACAGAGACCCAACAGCATACTAGAGGAACTCAAGAATCAAGTCAAAGTTTTAAAATACAAAGAAGCAAAAAACACTCAACTGGAAAAGCAAAAAGAATCCAAAAAGTTGAAGATAGTGTATGAAGCCTCTGGGACAGCTTCAAGCTTACCAACATCAGAATAATGGGGGTGCCAGAAAAAGAGAGAGAAGGAGATATTGAAAACCTATTTGAAGAAATAATGACTGAAAACTTCCCTCACCTGGTGAAAGAAATAGACTTACAAGTCCAGGAAGCACACAGAACCCCAAACAAAAGGAATCCAAAGAGGACCACACCAAGACATATCATAATTAAAATGCCAAGAGCAAAAGACAAAGATAGAATATTAAAAGCAGCAAGAGAAAAACAATTACCAACAAGGGAACACCCATATGATTGCCAGCTGATTTCTCAACAGATGGGAGTGGCAAAAAAAATATTCAAAGTGATGAATAGCAAGAACCTACAACCAAGATTACTCTACCCAGCAAAGTTATCATTCAGAATTGAAGGTCAGATAAAGAGCTTCATAGATAAGAAAAAGCTAAAGAAGTTCATCACCACCAAACCAGTATTATATGAAATGCTGAAAAGTATTCTTTAAGAGGTAGAAGAAAAAGTAAAGATAAAAATTATGAACAACAAATACTTATCTATCAACAAGTGAATCTAAAAATCAAATGAATTAAAAATCTAAGGAACGGAATAAATTGGTGAATATAATAGAATCAGGGGCATAGAATGGGAGGGGATTGATAATTCTCAGGGGGGAATGGGGAAGGGGTTTATGAGAAGAGACTGGGCAAAAATCATACACCCATGGATGAGCACAACGGGGTGGGGAGTCAAGGGCCTAGGGTGGAATGGGAATCGAGTGGAGGGGAGCTATGGGGGGAAAGGGGAAAAACAACTGTAATAATCTGAACAATAAAGATTTGTTGAATTAAAAAACAACCACTTTGGCTTATTGAAAAATTATGGAACTTGTTTTTTTAATTAAATCTTTGCTATTTGCTTGTTCATTTGTCATGGAGTTCCCCTTCCCCCTCATAAGTATAGAGCACAGAATAAAAAAAGATATCTGGTTATTTCAGTTTGAGGGCTTTCAGGTTAATTTGAATTTCCTGCATTTTTTGTGAATGTTCTACTTTGATAACAGGCATCTGTTATCAAAGTAGAAAAAATACTTTTTGACTTATAGTGATATATTCATAGAAAAAATACTTTTTGACTTATAGTGATATATTCATGCACATACAATAAACTGTAAAGGTATAAATTCAGTGCTCTATTTCCTTTGACTGTGGAAAGCTCACCTGTATTAATAAAAGAAAACATTTCAAATCTTCAGTTTTTGTATGGAATAATTTTAAACTATGTTAAATGGGAAAAGCAAGATGTGTAAGAATGAATATAGTATGCTCCCTTTGTATAATTTTTAAAAAATGTACATATATTCATATTTACAAATATATATAATGGCTTTGAATTGCACAGAGCACAATACTTTTTAGAGTGGCTGCCTGGGAAAATGAACTGAGGGACAAGAGGATCAGGATAGATAGGTTATTCATTCACCGTATGCATTTTTATTCTCTTTTTATGCTTTTTTTGTGTCTCTTAATACATTTTATGCCTTGGTGTTTTTAACTATGTGTATAAATTATCTCATTTATAAAACAAGTATTTTGAAAGAAAGGAAATATTTAAAGAAACACATTTTACAAATAGAAACTGCCTTGGTAGACATATAGATAATAAAGATAATAGAATCAGTTCATAGAACCATTTTCTATAAGCTCTTTTCCAATATGACTTATGTTATAAATATACCAGCACTAAGATGTCTACAGTTTAGAAGTCTGGCTCTATACTAATCAGGAACTCCTACACAAATTCAGGGGGTAAATGTATTATCTGTTTTATGTTACAAAATACATTGGATTAGGATAAAGTCAGGGTGAAAGTCTGAACTCTCAGAAAACTTTCACTCAGTGGGAAGCTTGCACACTACTGAAATAGAATTTCAAAAAAATGTGTTTCTTCAAAAAACAAGTTAGGAAACACTTTGAAAGGATATATCAATAAAGAATAATAAAACAAAACCCATTCCTCACTCATCTTCCTTTATTAAAGTATCTGTTGCCTCTTGAATAGAATGGGAATAGCCTCTCCATCTGGGGTGCCTTGTGGTTTCCCTGAACCTATTTGTCTTCTTACCCACTCATTGGAATCACTGAAGTCTTAGCAGGTACTCAGTTTTCAATTCTCACACATGACTACTAAAATTGTTGTTCCAAGGCAAGATATTCATATCTCACTCATACTTTTGAAGCATACTATAAGCTGAGTTTTTAACCTACAAGAGATCAAACACTTTTGATTTATCATATATTTTGTCTTCTTTGATAGAGGAAAAAACATAGAGTACAATTCATATGAATTGAATAATATCTTGCAACTGGTACCATTTTAACAACCTTCTAATGCAAAGACCTCTTTCTTGGACAGGTCCATCTCCTAAGAGTTAGTCTTATTTGAATTAGTCTCATGTCATATCTGTACAGGTTTGTACAGATTCTGGCTTTATCCAGCTCATCTCACTATTTCTATCACCGAGGAAACTCAACAATGACAAAGCAATTGTAGTTTATCCTATATGAATGGCGCCTTTTACCTTGGGCAATCTCCGTGGTAGTTCCAAAACTCCCAAATCATTTAAGTTATTCATAAGAAAAGTGGAAATACAAATATAAATATATAAGTTAATAGTAAATAGTAGCAGTGTTCTCTTAAAGGGGTTCTTCTTTAATTTATCCAGATGCAAAGCAATAATAATTTATAGGGTGTTCAATACTTTCCTCTAGGGACAAAAATTTAGAAAACCTTTATTTATTCTCTTTGAAACAAGAAGTTGGAAGCAGCATGAAATGATGTTCCTCAACCATTCCTTGCTGTTGAAAATGTGCCAAACTTATTGTTTTGGCAGTTCAGTTGGATAAAAGAAAAATGGTATAATTTGATAGCTTGAGGAAAGTGCCCCTTGAAGAACTGACATAGTTGATGAATTTTTTTTTCTATTTGGGATCATAATGTTCAGAAATATTTTGCTTGTTCTTTTGGAAGATATGTGTACTGTATCCTTTGGACTACATCCAGTTTTACAAGCAGCCTAGAATTTTAAAGATTTAGACATTTATAAATCTGAGTTTACTCTATTTCATTTTTATTGAGCAACATCTAAGTAATATTCATTAGTTCCTATAAATATGGTAACAACTGCCCATAAATGCTCAGAAAAAATAATGTGTTATCATACGAAGAAAATTAAAAAGAAAAATTTGGTATATATTAATGTTTCATTCATATATGAAAAAAATATTTTGTGATTGAAATTCATTCAGTATTACTTAATTGTCTGTTTTTTGGCTGAATTGTGACCCTTGCTCCCAGGAAAAGATATGCTAAAGTCTTAATCCACAGTACCTCAGAATGTGACCTTATTAAGAAACAGAGGTATAATCAAGTTAAAGTGAAGTCATGCACAAAGGGAAAAGGTTTTGAAGACATACAGGGAAGATGCCACTTAAGGATCAAGGATTAGTCATGCATCTCTAAGTATAGGAACATTTACCTCCAGAAACTAGAAGATAGGTATGGAAGTTTCTTCCCTAAATTTTTCAAAGAGAGCATGGCCCTGCGGACACTGAGATATCCTAACTCTAACCTTCAGAACTGTGATAAAATAAATTTCTGTTGTTTTAATTTCCAGAGTTTGGTAGTTTGTTACAGCAACCCTAAGAAATTAAGACACTGTTTAGTTCAAGAATGTCCAGGAGATAACTCTCAGGCTTTGTGTGTGCTAGGCATGCTTGAATCCACCAAGCAGGTCATGTGGAAACTTCTGTAGGTTACATAACAACTCTGCTTTGAAGGACTGGGCCCTCAAAGCTGCAGTTTTGTACCCTGTACTTCAAGCATGTCAAACTCAAAGACTAACATACGCCAAATAAACAAGATTTAAGTTTATGGTACATGGGCCCCAAAAAACCAAAAGCTTCAATTTTCATAGAAACATAGGTTTATTTCGATAGAGACATGCTGAATACAAAGGGCTGAAATAAATGAGTAATCGTTAACATAAAATATTAGAACATTTTAATAAAAGTTAATATTTTTTCTTGAACATTAACTTACCAGACACTGAATAACTGCACAAGTTAATAAGCATAATGCAAAAACAAAAACAAAAACAAAAACACCAACTATTTTTCTTGTTCTCTGAAGACGAAATATTTTCTGTTGTGCACACCAAACAAGTCAGTCCAAGACTGTATATGTGGCAATCGGCTGCCAAAATATTTGCTGCTAGTATTAGTGGAGAGAAATGGTGTGCCTGCACGTAAGGTGCATAAGGGAAATGAATGCAACACTATTATAGTAATCAATCATTAGTAAACCTTATAGTTTGTTATTAATAATTATGTATAACAGGATATTATAAAAATTAAGTTAAAAATTTTTATTAAAGTGTTTCTTACATACCATTATATTGGCTGGGCCGCAAAAATATTTGTTGTGGGCAGCCTGCAGTCCGCAGGCTGTGAGTTTGACATGCTTGCTGTACTTCATCTCTCAATTAAGTTTAACAGAATTTTAAAAGTGTGACTTGAAGCTTTTGTTTTCTGGAACTTTTACAGTATACAATATTTTCTATATACAGTAACTTAATATTTTATTTTGTGTTATGTTTTTTGTGAGACTAGATTAAAAGAAATATATAAAACACGGGATATCTATATTATGTTCAGATTCTACCATAAATTGTCTATGTGAGTTGACATCTTTACTTCAGTTTCCCATTCAATGTAACAGGGACAATAATATTTCACATGAGGAAATGAATATGAAAGTGTTAAGGAATATGAAGTGCTGCAGACATAATACGATATTATGACTCATAGAGGTCTTGTCTAGCACTTGACATTTGAATGTCATTTAAGCTCTACTAAAATATTCATAATTCAAAAGTGTATACTTACAAAATAAACCTTAAAACAAATTTTACATACCTGATCCATATTTAGCTTCTCCACTTTTCTTATTGTTTTTTCATAAATAACATTGTTTCCTGGGAAGAAATGACCTCCTCTTACGAATGGAGACAGTGGTTCCTAGAAAGACAGTAAAAACTGTGTTGTGCTTTGAAAGGTACCTTTTCAGAGAAATATTAACTTAAGCAAATATCCAGTCTTTAATAAACTCTGAGGTAGTAGCAAACCATAGAAGTGGAGTGATATTTCAATAAGGTCTGAGATATGTAAAGAAATAGTAATAAAGATAGCCTATTTTCTCAAAAGAAAAATCTGAATCTTTCCTACTCATTTAACTAGGCCTAACACAGTGTTTTGGGGAAATTACAAAGGTGTGAAAAGAGAATTTGTTTCTGTTCCTAAGACAAGGTATAATTTTCTCAGAGTTTTCTCTGCAGTAGACAGGCATGAGGTCAACCTCATTTAAATTTGGTTCTCTGGCAGGTTTCGCTCCATGTAAAAGTATTATTGGAGAAATGCAAAATAAACATAATTCATCACCACTGAGCCATAAAGTTTGCAGAAGAATATTACATAATTTTTGTTTCTGGAACTCAATCTGGGTACCCTTGAAGTGTACAGTTCTTATCTGTGATGATAATCAAAGCTAAGGCTCTCAGTAAATATGTTTTGAATACTGAGAACAGAGTAAAGGTTTTAAGGGCCACTGTATCTCCATATAATCAACAAAGTTGATGTAGTATTATCTTAGAAGATGTCAGCCAGTGAAATAAAGTCTGGTGACATGTTCAAGATCTAAAAGGAACCAGGAAAGAGCTAATAAGAATCATATCTGGAGTCTAAAATAAATGTAATGTGCACTATATATATTTCTTTCCCTTCTTTTGGTTTTCATGAGTCTTTAACTTGTAGATGGGGAGTTGGAATTGTTTTGTTACAAACCAAAAATTGCATTGATCTGTTTTTGGGACACAGGGGAATAGTTTAGAAAGGGAATGGCCAAGCCTGTTACCAGTTAACATGTTTAGGACCATTTCAAAATCAATAAAAGGTTCTAGCATTTTTGTAGTCTGTTATTGTAATAATTTTAGAATAATGGAACTAAAACCCTGGTTGTTGAGAACACATGACACTTTTGAACCCAAAACTATATACTTCTTATATTCATGTTTAAATAAAGAGTGCTTTAACTAAATGTTCCTGTGATACTTTGGTAGAAAAGCATATAAGTAATTAAATTTGACTAGCTGATGAGTTACTAAATGTAAAGATTGATATATTTAGATAAATTCCTCTGAAAGCTATTTTATACTTGTTTGTTTTTGAAAAACAAAAGCCTTTGAGGTAGTTATTTGCAATTATTGTAGCACTAGTAAGAGGTTACTATGAAGAATATTCTTTGCTCAGTGTTATAAAGCATGAATCATACTTAGATTATTACCAGGAGCATTAAATATTGATCAGGATTTATCAGACTATAGCCAGAAGCATATGTCTGTGATGTCTTCAAGCTAAGAATGGCATTTAGATTTTTAAAGGACTGTAAATAAAAGGAAGGACTGAGACCCTATGTGGCCAGAAAAACCTAAAATATTTACTATATAGCCCTTTACAGAAAAGTTTTGCTAATATCTGTTCTAGATGATATATGAACATAAATATCTATAATACAAAGTAGAAAGTCATAAGTGTAAGAGGTACAGAGAAATAACTCATGGGATGGAATTCATAAGAGACAAAATGGAATTTCATTTAGCAATGATCGGGTACATTACTTGGATCAGATGGCATTTGAGAGAAGGTTAAAGTATGCTTTGGATATGAGGAAATGGAAGAAATAGTATTCAAAATGAAGAAAACAAAATAAGTCAAGGCACCAACATTGGGAAAGTGTAAGCTGTATGTAGGGAACATACTTGGCAGATGGGGCTTGGTTCTGCAAGTAGTGAGAAGTGAGAAGCTTGGGTGTGAGGTGAACTTTGGGAAAAGTAATTGGAGAAAGGAAAGGGTACATGTGAGGAGAACAGTTAGCAGATTATCCTAAGCACAGTAAGGACATTAATGACAGTAATTTTCAAAGATGACTCTGACATCTTGAACATGAGGAATATATTATATGATCAGTGATGGAGAAAAAAAAAAACAGAAAAAAGTTGAGACATTTTGGGTTTCATATGCTCCAAGAATCCAGGTCTGATTTTTCCTAGCACTCAATAATGCATATAGTATATAGTAATCACTTAAGCATGTGTTAAATTATTGCAAGGAACTAGCAAAGAGACTCTTTTTTTTAAAAATGTGCAAGTGGGCATTCAGATATAGATGTCCAGCACACACTTGAAAACATCTTTGGAACTGAATAAGGATTTCATGGCTACAGTTTTAGATTTCAGAATCATATGCTTATGAGTTATAATAAAAGCATGCCATTGTTGAAAAGTTAAATGAAGATCAAACACATCACTAGACAAGTCTTAAGGAGTATGAGAATCAGAAAATAAAAATATCATAAAACCAAGAGAAGAGAATGCATTATACAGACCATGTATCATAGAAATGTATACCTGAAACCTATATAATCTTATTAACTAATGTCACCCAATAAATTTAGTATACAACAAAAAAGGAAACAGTGGGAAGGTGAATGAAGGTATAAAAAATTCAGTAACTCAGCAGGTGAGAATTGCAAAGTGGATTGAATTTGGACTAAAATTAGTGGCAGCAAGTGTAATGGGAAAAATTATGGAGTCATAAAACCTGTATTCCTTCCTGTATATACTACATACTTGCTGTGGAAACTTAGGCAAGTAATTTTCCTTCTTTGAGGCTCATAGGGATAATAATGCAGGGTACTTTATATCAAGCAAAATAATATAATTTAAAGAATATTTCATCCATAATTTCAATGTACAAATAACATAGTTTTAACAAATATCCTATATAATAAAAGCCTAATATGCTAAGTGTCTGGTCATCCAGTCGGCCATTCAACCAAAGTGTAATATGCTAATAATATGCTAAGGCAGCTCAACCACTTGCTATAACATGCACTGACCACCAGGAGGCAAATGGTAGGTTAGCTTGCTACTGGGGTCTTGCCAATCGGGACTGAGCAAGACCTGGCTGGACATGCCCTGAAGCCCTCCTGCAGCCTGTCCTTGGCCAACCTCTTCCATCCCTCCCTGGCCTCTATAGATGGTGCACTGGTGGGGTCCCTCAGCCTGACCTGCACCTCTCACAATCTGGGACTCCTTGGGAGATGTCAGAAAACTAGTTTTGGCCTGATCCTGCAGGCCAGGATGAGGGATTCCCCTGCTGCACAAATTTGTGTACCAGGCTTCTAGTAGTAATATAATACTTAAAATCCATACTGATTCAAAATAATTTATGAGAATCTTATTAAAACTTTTCTAGAATAACAAGTTAAAAATATGCTAAAGTAAACCTATTGAGAACATGGACTTTTTCCATCTTGAATACCACCATAGCAAATGAACAGATGATTGGATGAGAAGGGATGAGCTGGACGTTTATCTTAAGGATATATGCATCTTCCTAAGAGGCAGAAAACAAATATAGCAAAAATAATGAAATGTTCTATGTGAACTAAATTTGCTGTACTAGTAAATGTTGAACCATTATTATTTTTAAGAAGAAAAATGGTTTAGTTGGTGACAGTGTTGATTCTCTCTGAAATAAGTGTTGGTGTTATTATTTTAATTGAGTTACTAAGAAAAAAAAACTTTCAAATTTAGAGGACTATTATTTTCCCCAAATGGAAAAGAAGGTAAAACCAAATGGTACTATGAATACATAATTCTGAGTAAAACAGGTTAGCAAAATAAATTTAAAGCCATAGATTTCTCACAAATGTGCTACTGGACAGTTTTACTGTTTGTCAGCTTATTTTTTTCTATCTGTACATTTGAATTGGTGCCAGATCCACCCTAAAAATTAATAGGTGTTTTCAAAGATGGCTGATATTATCATTATAATTGTTACTTTTAGGACCTCTGGCAATAGTTCTCACATCTAATGAAGTCCATAATCCCCAACATCTACTTTACTGTTCCAAGGTCATGAAACCTTGCTGGAAAAAAAAAAAGATGGGCTGATTAAGCTCAATACAAATTCAACTTATCCAAGTTTAAGAGACCCTCCTAACCTTTATGGTCATACTTGCATTTCTCAAATTATCCATAATTATGGTTAAAATATTTTGATTTTCCTCAATCCTATATGCTCATAATTCCTAATTTTCCTTATACTTATTGAGAAAACCAAGATAATCTATCCAATGAGATTCACTCATTTTCCTCTCATTATGGAGAAAGACATATTCCTCTCCCCTCCAGCCCCCCAAACTCACTTCTCTATCTCTACCTGGAATACTATCTTCTCATGTTTCTTCCAGAATCTTATCCTAATCATCCCCATTCTCTAATGCATCTTCAGTCTTCCTTATTAACTATTCCCCCCCCCTCTGCTTACAAATCTCTCATATCTCCAAAAATTCTGTTTTCTTCTTTAGCTACTATCTCCTATCTTCTTCCTTTGACCAATACATTTTTTTAGAATAATAATCCTCACCTGCTTCGTGATATATTCATCCATTAACTTATTACATCTGGATTTTGCCTCCACAGGTATACCAAAAATGCTCTCTCAAATATCACCACTGCCTTCTTAATGTTCAAACTCTATTCTTAAACATCCTCCTCTTTGGCCTTTTTGTCATTTGAGACAGATGATCACCTCCTTTCTGAACTTGTTTCAGTTACTCTGTGTTCACACTCCCTTTGTTCACAGATCCTCTGCCTGTGTAAATGGTTCCTTCCTTCTAGTCCCTCAAAGTAGGAATTTCTCAAGGTTCAAACCTCAACCCTCTCCATTACCCCTTAGTTATCTCACCCGTTCCCACAGCCACAATAATAATAATTTCAAGAGGAATAACTACCATAGTCTCTTATCTCAAATGGAACCTTTCTCCAAGTCATTTTAACTGTCTGTTGGGCATCTTCTACTCCATGCACCTCAAATGCCACTGGTTCAAACAAATATCAAATCTCCCCCTTTCCCAAACCAACTTCTTCTCCCCTAACTTCTCATCTTTTTAATTGGCTACCATACTCCCGGCATCTAAAATTGAAAAGCTTATGATCATGTTTGACTGTTGTTCTTTTAACCCCATATCCAATATAAGTTATCAGATCTTGTCAAAGCTACTCTCAGAATAACTGTGAAAAATATAACGAGTGTTAGATTTTGAGTAAAAAAAAAAAAAAAACCTGAGCAAGTCACACTTATTTAAGCTTTAGTTCCCTCATTAGTAAAATAATACTAATAACAATGTTAATTGTAAAAATGCATTAAATACCACAATAAACCCTTCTCTGATTCCCCCCCCCCTAGAAAAACATATACATTATCTCCAACCTTTGAGCTTCAATAAGACTTCATTTGTATTTCTTTTATGGCATCTATCATGCACCTCACCATGTATTTTACATAGTTGTTTGTGGCTATATCTTATTTCCCTTCCTGAGAACAATTGTAAGCTACATTGGTTTGGGAACCATGTCTTATTTCCCTTTTTTATTTGAAGGCTGTACAGAGCCCTCCCCATAGAAGGATCTATATACTGGAAAATTAATGAAACTGAGTAATATCAACAGGACTCTGACTACTTAAAGCAACAAAAAATACTTATCTGATTTCTGAGTCAAGTTATATACCATAATGCATAAATCCTTTGACTAAAATGACAATAAATGAAGCATAAAGAAAGTCAGGAAGAACCAAAAATAAAACTGAATTTGAAGGAAATCATATTGAGAAAAGTGGAATGTTATCAGTTTAATTACAGGGAGGATAAGTAAAGATTAGAGAAACTGGGAGGTGAAAGAGGATAAAGTTGCCACTTAGGAGGCTCAGGTTATTATAAATATTGTAATTAAGACAGAATCTATTCCTGGGGAAATTTAAAAGAACAAACAAAAAAGCATACATTTATAGATAAATAAAATGCAGAATATATCTAGACAGGATTTTCAAGCTGCTCTGTAAAACTGGTTAGATTATTTTTGTTTACAAAGCATCAGATTAAAATTTGTTTTATTCCTCAATAATGGAAATAGTTAAAAGCATTAAATTATTTTTTTCTTTCATCCTCTATTATGTCTTCTCACAAAGAAATTATTTGCTTCTGTGTAGTTGAACATAGCCATAATAATTAGCAGGTGCTGTGTTACAAATATGTTTTACACTTGCATACATATTTCTAATTTATCTGTGCTTTTGTTTTCTCTCCTTTTTAGTATTAAATGGGATAAAATATGTAAATTGCCTAGCAGGGAGTGTACTTCAAATAAATATTAATTCTTCCCTTCCCCCATTAACTAAATAATTTATCCAAAGTCACATAAGAGCCAGAGAAAGATAAGTATCATATGATCTCACTCATATGTTGGAATATAATGAACAAAATAAACTGATGAACAAAATAGATCCAGATACATTGAAGCATGGAACAGACTGATGAATCTTAGAGGGAAGGCAGGGATGAATGGTTGGGGGGGAGAGATTAATCAGGGAATTTATATGCCTATATGCGTAGCCCATGGACACAGACAACGGTGTGGTGAAGGGGCGGTGCAGGGTCAAAGGGGTCATTAGGGAAAGAAAAAAGGGGGACATCTTTAATACTTTCAATAATAAAGATAATTTTTTTAAAGTCACATAAAAATTGCTGGCAAAGTGGGTGGAATTCAAATGATTTCATTTTTTAAATCTCTCTGAGGATATATCCTAGGCAAACACAGCAATCCTCACATTATGAAAAAAACACTATCTGGAATTAATAATTTGAAAGCCAGAGTTATCAAATAAAATATGCATCTTAATATGCAAATTCTCCAGTTTGTCTGCAAAAGAGGCACATTCTAATCTTCCACACTATCCTTATGGCCTCCTCTCTGACGCAATTTTCAGATTTGTTGCTTAAACATTTGATTCTGCAAAAGAATGATCAAGCAGTTCTCTTTTGATATTTACACAAATATATGGAAACTCAAGAAAATACCTGACAATCACCCCCAACACAGAGACTGCATGCTCACGGGTTCACACACACATGCACACACACACACACACACACACACACACACACACACACACACACACACACACCAGCCTCCCTGGCTAAAGAAACATGAGAAAATGATTTTAAAATGATGAAAGAAGAGGAGAAATTGATACAAATAGAAGAATAGTACATCTTCCTCATCTATCTAGAATAGTACCATGTGTGTTGACCTAATTTAACTCTTTGCTCACCGCAGCTGAAGCAAGTGATCAAATTTATTTTGTAAAAAAGAGAAGGGTTGTTTCCTGCAATAATGGAGGTATACAATAAAGAGCAAAGCAAAATATGTGTGTTATATACTTTTGTATTTATAACCCAGTAGGAGAACCTCCTGTTGCAGCTAAAAAAGGGCCATGTCTGGCTGTACGTGTGTGTGTGTGTGTGTGTGTGTGTGTGTGTGTGTGTGTGTGAAAAAGACATTACTGAGGGAGGAAAGTTTTCTTAATTTTATCCTCAAAATAGACAGATAACAATATCCTAGTTTGTAAAATATGAGGTCATATGTTTTAGTAGGTTATATAATTATGTAGCCTTCAAGAACCTATATCAGTGGAAACAAAAGTTCATACACCATATGCAACAAAGGCATGGGGACACTTTTGAACTTTTGACTTTTCATTTTCTTCTTCCTAACCCATATCTCAATGGCATATTTAAATATACTAAATACTCTAACCCCTGTATTAGCAACTGATTCGTATATATATATATATATATATTTCTTGATTGATTTCAGAGAGGAAGGGAGAGAGAGATAGAAACATTGATAATGAGAGAGAATCATTGATTGGCTGCCTCCTGAAGGTCCCCCACTGGGGATGGAGCCTGCAATCCGAGCATGTGCCCTTGGCCAGAATCGAACCTGGGATCCTTCATCCCACAGGCCAATACTCTATCCACTGAGCCAAACTAGCTAGGGAACAACTGATAGCTTTTATATGAAACTTATGAAAGAACGTTGTCCCTTTTTCCTTTGGTTCAAAGTGCACAAAAATCCTTTGTGGCACAGGGTGGGGCTATGAAGTAGAAAGACTTTATAACCTTCTTGGAACTGTTGCAGCTCTGAGTCAGAATGTATGGGCACATGATTGTTTAGAATTATGGTGATTAAGAATTAAATTTATAACCAGAAGAAAGTCCAACAATCTGATTTTATAGATATGGTAACTGACTCACACTTCTAAGGAATTATAGTTTGGGACAATATTTTTGTGTGACATGGATTACCTGTTCAGGATTTTGTACTATATATCTCCTAATAGTGGTCTGTGGATATGTAGTGACTTTTACTACTGGAGAATGAAGTTCCTGTGAAGAAAAGATAAAAAATGCATATAATTATAGTTATTTAGTGACCTTGGAACCATCAATAATAATAGGGAGCAATTTTCAGAGTAAAAGTTTTAGTCACTTGCATAAATGATGACATCTGACTTAGTGTTGTAGTTAATTTCAGTCTTTCAAAAACATGTGTGAAAGCACATGTTTATGTGCTGAGCACTGTGCTATGTGTTTCTATTATACTAATTTCATGGTAAATTCATCACACCTTCTAAATTACATTTTATGAGAGTTTCAAAATATTTCTTTCATTGTAAATGCTTCCACATGATTTGAAAAATATAGCATAACATTTATTAATTATATCTGTTTGGAGGACATCTTATATATTTTTTAAATGGAAGGAGATGCAAAGAGAAAACTGTGTGTGTGTGTGTGTGTGTGTGTGTGTGTGTGTGTACTTAAACACTTAAATCTTTAGTGTAGTGTTGGGGATGGCCATAAATAACAATAAAAGAAAGACAAAACACTAAAACAAAGTAATTTGCAAACTTTTGAAGGAAATAGAGTCAATATTATTAATACAATGAGAGTTATTATACCTCAACGAGAAAATCTTCACACTAATAGAAAAATGAGCAAACAGCATATAATAGAAGAAAAGCAAGTGGTTATTAAATAACAAAAAGTATTCAACCAAACTAGGAATCAATAAACATAACAAAAGAACACCATATTTTAACTGCAGAAATTTTAAAAATAATAATGTTGATAGGGTGCAGTAGCAGAAGCACTTGCTTTTGGTGAGGGGAAAGATTAAATAATCACATGTAGGCAAAAATTTGTAGCCATCAAAATAACCACCTTGAGTAATAACATTTTACATGGAAAAAAGCTCACAATATTATATAAGGTTAAGTGAAAATGAAGTTATAAAACTGCATATATGGCATGATCACAATTTTTTATTTGAATGGAAGGAAACAAAATGCTCAGAGTAATATCTCTGGGTAAGAGAGGAAATCATGAATGAGCTTTATTTTTTTCTTCTTCATATTCTTTTATAGTGCCACAATTCGACAATAAACACATATTTTTATTGTCAGAAATAAAACATACAGTAAACTAAATTATGAGAAATATGAATGCAATTTTCTGACAGGATTTGAATATAGTGAACAGCACTGTGATTTAAGTGGACTTACTTTTCTGAGATAGGACTCCATTTTAGATGCAATTGTAGCCTTTATCCCACTGTCTTGGGTTTTGTCATGTATGTGACCTATGTTAGTCTATGAGCTCTTTGAGAATAATGACAGGGTCTAATTCATCTTTGTGCAGTATTTGTTACATATTTGGCACTAAGCAAATGTTTACTGAATAAATGCATGACTAAATAATTTAGCTCCAGATTAGGCCAAATTGAGATGAGGTAGACAAACTTTTCTTTGATAATCTTTTTAGTTCTACATAATAGTACCTTTTCCTTACTTTACCCACGTTCTTAGGACCAGCTTTTGTCTATCTGTGCCTATACTGTCCAAGTTCACATCCTGAAACCTCATTTTTCTCTCTTATTCTTAAAATCCCATACACTTTATACTCCCCTACTATGTAGTAACACAATTTGGATGTTTTATATTTTATGCTCTTGGAATCTACTTTTTGAGATATGGTGACTAGCTCAATAAACACATATTTGTTAACATGGCATTTCATTATTATTATAGTGTCTTTTAAAGATCTAATGCTTAGGCTCAAGAACAATCTTAAAAATGGCTATTAGGTCATAAATACTAAGGAATCTCTAGATTGTGTGTCTTTTAAAGCACAAACTTTTGAAAAGGGCTAGTTCTGAACCTATAAGTTACTCTCTCTGAATGTGTACTCATAGTACTAGCATCCTCACAGGTCCTCAGTCAATCCAAGATCCAAGATCCGTGTACTTCTTTTGTGCTCAAATCAAGAACCCTTAAAATATACATAATCACAAGGAGATCCTTGGCTAAAAATAAACTGCACTCAAACTAAAAGCAATCAGATTGAGTAGACAATTAAACCGAAAAATCCCAATTCACAGCAATTATTTCAACACTTGCTTCACATTCCTTGATGGGCTGAACTGATGCTCATATGTGAGAATTCCCTTTCTTGTTTTATGATCCTGACATTTTTGAATGTGTAAAACCCTATGAGGGTCTAAAGATTGTTTAAACATAGGAGCAAGGCTTACATTAAAAGAAAAATAATAAAATCTAATCTATAAAATCTTTTACCTGCTCAGTACTTGGGGTCATGTGTAGAGTGCTTGGGGTACAAGTAGATATTTTCAGAGTTGGAGAATGGAGTTCCTGTTGAGAGGGAAAAATGGGGGTTCAGAAATTGTTACTGATCCATGTAATTTGAATGCATTATTTTCTTTATTTTTATGATAACACAATTTATCAGAAATAAGAATGTTATGTTTTCCTAGATGATGTCTAGCCATCCAAAGAGAGCATGACTGAATTCATTTGTCAACTTTGCATGAAACCTAATAAGAAAATTTCAACGGTGCTTTCATGGTAATGTATTCTTCTCGTACTTTTAGATTGCATTCTTTTTTTTTAGAACTCAGTTAATATACATCCCAATGTATACTATGTCTGCAATTAACATTACGCAAAATGTATCAGTAAAAAATGTTAAATGTAAAAATTCTCAAACCAATATAGGAAACTTCCTTTGCAAACTCAACTAAGACTACTCCCCTTAAATTCCTTCTGGCTGACCCTTAATTATGCTTTATTTGGTTTGCTTCTGGTTTAATTTCAAAGAGTAGGTTCAGATGTTTAAAAAGGATCCATGGAAGTGGAGAATATGATTATGATAGTAAGTAGGTAAAATTCATTATATTGATTATATCAATATTCTTGATATTTCTCAAATCATCAAAGATGCATAGCTTTCTTAATATTCAGAGTTGATAGTATTACTTAATCTCTTCATAAATTACTATAATTTACAACCAATTGACACAACTCCAGGACACATTCCTATAATGATAAACATATTTTTTAGAACAAGAAGGCTATTGAATATCAGAATATGGACTTACAGAGGAAATACTGACAGAATCCTATGGAATTACAATAAAATTAGGTGTGACATGCTGTTCTTAGAACAGTTATACGTGCTTAACTCAATCTGTCAAATGTTCTGCACACCATGGTTTTTCTTTTTATTTTCCTTTGGTACAACTTGCAACATTTTCATTCTCCCTCTCCCTGCTATATCAAGACCAATAATGCAAGCTTAATGTTACAAGGAAGCCTTTGAATGTGTTCCCAGATTTCCTGTTGGTTGCTGAGGAAACTGCTTTAAAAAGCAGAAAATTTAAGATAGCAGATCAAGCAGGTACATGTTCTTCAGTTTGGAAAATTTATTACAAATGCAACTAAATTCAGGTGGGTTTGGCTCTTAAATAGATATAATAGAAGCAGCTTCTGAGAGATAGGAGACAAAGGGGGTGATTTTTAGTTATGCAATAGTACATGGACACATTTTATCATAAAATTGTATACAGATCTTCCTCCATGAAGTCAAAGACCTTCCCTTAATCATTCTCCTGCATCAAAATCCCTTACCCAAAAGTAACCATAATTGTCAGGTGTATGTTTACACACACACACGCACACACACACACACACACACACACACATACGTGTGTGTGTGTGTGTGTGTTGCATTGATTTGTTATTCTGCAACATTAATCAAACAGTATCTCTTGTATTATAGATTAAATATGTCTCAGTTCATTATTTTAAATTAATATGTAATGTTCTATAATGTTTGTTTGTTACCTTATTTATCAAAATTTAAATTATTTCTGGGTTTTCTGTATACTGCAATGAGTATTCTTGTGCAGTGTGATTATTTCTCTTAAATCCCACAGAGAAGTGGTATTGCTGGGGTACAGAGTATGTGTACTATTTATTTTAACAGATACTGCCCAATTCAATTTCCAAATGGTTATACTCACATATCCACTAGCAATGCATGACTACTCATGTCTGGAAGATGCTTTTCCACAACCTTTAGGTTTTTTTGGCCAAGGTTACAAATACTAGGATCACTTCAAGAAGACAGTTTGTGGACACTGCCTGACACCTGGTACAAGGTCTATAAATGGTAATTATTTCACCCTCTTTTTAACCAATTCAAATCTGATGACATCAGCACATTAAACAGAACAAAACTTACTAGCCAAGTGGGCTAGCTTTTAAGATAAAAGAGTGTGCTGTGAAGTTTTATAAATTTTGAGAAATTAACACAAGTAGGCCTACACACAACAAACCCCACATACACATCTCTATCAATAGCCATATCTATATCGATCTACTAGTGTATATCATAGATTTAGGACATTTATTTATCATAATATAGGCAGGGTTACTTTATTCAGCTGTAAAGTTAGTAAATATTTGAAAGGGGAATTGGTACATTTGCACAAAGACTAGTCTGATCCTAAAATAAAATATCCAAATTTATTATATTTAGAAAGCTAACATATTAATTCTATAGATTGTAGCTTAATTATTTTGAGACTGTTTTTAGAATTGATCTAGGAAAATATGGCTTGCAATCCTCATAAAAACAGGACAAATGGGATAGCTACAAAAAATAAATTTTAAGGTGGTAGATTGATATGCATCAAAGAACATTAAGACATATGATGTTGACCAGAAAAACTGTAGCAGTATTAAGTTGATTATAAGGTGGGAAAGCAATCTAAATATAAAGTTTATTAATTCCATAAAGACTTGCTAAAGAAAGTTATTTTCCCTGGAAATCTACAGAATTAGGTATGATGATCTGAGTAAATGTCCAAAATGATCATTGTCTTGATAATGGTAGGCACTTCGGTGGTATCTAGCTCTAGGCAGAATTGCAGCAAATTATCCCTTAAATAACTATTGCCCATTGTATAGAAATTGATAAAAATGTGAATGAAAAGGATGCCTTAATTTTAAATGCACCCCAGGAATAAGAGTTTACTCTCCCTCTTGATAACGCCTATCAGCGTGTTTAATTTTAAGTGTCCCTGATCTGAATATAGCTTACCTAAATCCTTCATGTTGAAATCATTAAATTAAAAAATATAGTTACATCTTTTGTTCTTATGCTTTCTGCGACAAAGCCTCTGGGGTGCCTTTTATCTAATTAACAAAATAATTAAAATTTGGGGTAGGAGTGAGTGGTGATTACTCTCATAATATAGTGGAAAGAGACCATACATGGAGTCAGAAGCCCTAAGTTCTATTTCTAGTTATAGTACTAGCTAATTGTGTGATATCAAACAACTCATATATCCCTGATCTTCAGTTTCCTCGTGTGAGAAATTGTATATAGGTGTGTGCTAGTGTGGATTAGATGATCTTAAACTCTCCTTTATATTTCTAATATTCTGTGAAGATAAATAATTCCCAATGTATTTTTCCATAGAGACTAAACAATTTTAAATCCTTTAAACTAGTCAGTCTTTTCTTTTGATGATGATGATAACTAACACCTATTAAAAGCTTTCTGTTACAAATATGTAACACAGAATATCTTTTTTTTAATGTATATTTTATTGATTTTTCCACAGAGAGAAAGGGAGAGGGACAAAGTTAGAAACATCGATGAGAGAGAATCATCAATAAGCTGCCTCCTACACACCTCCTACTGGGGATGTGCCCGCAACCAAGGTACATGCACTTGATCAGAATTGAACCTGGGACCTTTCAGTCTGCAGGCTGACTCTCTATCCACTGAGCCAAACTGGTTTCGGCCAGAATATCTTTTTTAAAAATATATTTTTAATGATTTCAGAGAGGAAGGGAAAGGGAGAGATAGAAACAATGATGAGAGAGAATCATTGACTGGCTGCCTCCTACATGCCCCTTACTGGGGTTCAAGCCTGAAACCTGGGCATGTGCCCTTGACCAGAATAAAACCTCGGGAACCTTCAGTCCGCAGGCCGACACTCTACCCCACTAAGCCATACCAGCTAGGGCTACACAGACTATCTTAATATTCAAAACAATCTCATGAGGAGGATGCTACTATACCCTTATTATACATATGAATAAAGTTAGAGATTGTTTAAGTAACCAGATGAAGATCACACTGTCAATACTAAGTTGCTGGAGCTGAAACTCAAGTACCATGACTCCACAACTCACACTCTTAATTACTATACTTTGTCACATATGTAGCGTATGTCATTATATTTTCTGCTTTTCAAGTTATAGAACATAATTCTACTGTTAAACTTGACTAATGCTTATAATAGGGGGGTAGATATTTGTCCTTTTTATTATTTACTGTCAAAGGCAACTTTTGGGTGCCTGAAAACAAGAGAGCCACCCAAAAGTGACTGTATGAGAGAATGACTCTGATTAAATATTTTAACTTTTACAAATCCAATAGATTTTATAAACTGTGCCATATATTTATAGCATGTACTCTGAAGCCTCTAAACTAAAAAAAAAATTTACTTAGTACTCATATTACTTACGTCCTTCAATTTTTCAGTAAGGCCCTACTTTTTCTTTAAATCAAATATTTAGCATAGCATTCATTTATTTATTCCTGTGCCTCAGATTTGCTAAACACATAAATATTGTCTTGTTGGCCACTTTCTTTTGGTAGAGGTATAGTAAAAAATAATTTTTTTGTAATTGGGTGGGCTCAGTTTTAATATAAAATTCAGGTCTTCTTTTCCCATACTGCCTAACATAACGATTTTCAGCTTTGGAAAGCTGTAGCATCCCTCTTCCTCCTTTTGCTCCTCTTCCTCCTCCTTGTATAAACTACATATGGAATTACTAATTCTAAGATCAAAGTGGATTGAAAACAGTCTGCTTTTGGGGATAATTTCATTATATCACTTAAGATAATTGTCCATACCTTGATATACCCTAAATCATAACTAGTCACAATACTATCTTTATTCTGTTTGCTAACACAGCTATGTTTTTCAGAGTTAGAAAATCATATGAAATGGAAATGAAACAAGTTTCCCTGTTATTTACGTCAGCGAGAGAGCTTTTGAGTAGCTCAGAGCAGTGAAGAAATAAAGGAAAACAGAAGCTGGAGAGGTGTTATTTTTCTTCACACCTTAAAAACTTAGCACATGCTCCTTTAAAATATTAAAACAGTAATACTCTAAATGCCATGATTATTTCAGGGTAAGACCATAAAAATCAGATCAGAAACTATTTTGTCCCCTAATATATTTTTTTATACTTCCTACCCTGTTAATGGAACATTGGTGTAGAAAAAATATATACAGTAAGGGTAATCATCAAATGATTTGCTGAAATGA